CAAGTTGAACCCCCAAGTCTGGAAAAAAAAAACAGCAGAAAAGAAGATTCACTTTTGAACTGATCTTGTACATGTTGCCCTTTTTCCCACTTTACTGTTTCTTAAGCCATAGATGTCATAGATTGTTTTTGGAATGAACTTGCACTTTAAAGTGGCACCAGTTACCTCAGGAGCCTGATGTTCCTGGAAGCTGTCTTCCTTCTGACTTTAAGGTTAAGTAAATAGGTGCTGCAGGGAAGCCTGCCCCTTCACTGCCCTTGACAATGATGACACTCTCTACGTGTCACCTCCATTGTTCCTCCAACAAATACTCACTTCTTTTTTTTTTGGTGAGACAGGTCTAGCTAGGTAGTCCAGGCTGGCCTCGATTTCACAGGCCCATCTCAGTCTTCTCAGTTCAGGGATTTCAGGCTCTTAAAGTTAGAAATCCTTTCTTCAGTATAAACAGCTGAAGATTTTCTTATTTTTGATGAACACTTTGGTTTCTCAGCAACTGATCAAGAGTTGTTAGAAAATTCATGACTAGGGCTGGGAAGGTGGCTCAGTGGTAGAGCGCTTGCCTTGCATGCATTAGGCCCTGGGTTCGATTCCTCAGCACCACATAAGCAGAAAAAAGCCAGAAGTGGCACTGTGGCTCAAGTGGTAGAGCGCTAGCCTTGAGCTGAAGAGCTGAGGGACAGCGCCCAGGCCCAGAGTTCAGCCCCTACAACCGGATCCAAAAAAAAAAAAAAAAAGAAAATTCATGACTGTATCTAAAAGCCTATTTAATAAAAACACCTTTCTAAAAGATTACTTTTAAGGAAAGTGGTGCAGGTGTTCTGCAGTCTGTAAATGAACCGGATGTGAGTTCATATTGCTGCCTGGGTGAGGTCTGGATTGTCACAGGGTGGGGAAGACAAGTGGGGAAGGGCACTGCCCTTTGCTGAGCATTGATCTGCATGTCCCTTCCGTTCCCCTTTGGGCACTAGAATGATGGGTTGTGATTTATTCTAGTCACCTGGTGCTTGAGGCAAGACACTTTGCCTCTGAGGCATGAAGCTTTCTGCTGGGTTTTTTATTTTATTTTATTTTTGGCGGGGGGGCCCGAACTCTGGGCCTGGGCACTTTCCCTCAGCTCTTCAGCTCAAGGCTAGCGCTCTACCACTTGAGCCACAGCACCACTTCTGGCTTTTTTCTGCTTATGTGGTGCTGAGGAATCGAACCCAGGGCCTCATGCATGTGAGGCAAGCACTGTACCACTGAGCCAACTTCCCAGTCCTTGCTGAGTTCTTTTTATTGGAGCTTGTAAATCTTCATTCTTACAAACCTTGCCTATGGGGCTGGACTTAGTACACACCTGTAATCCCACTACTCAGGTAGGAGGATGACAATCTGGACAGTGTAGGCTATATAGGGAGTCCCTGCCTCAGAAAGATAAGCAACAAAAAAGAAACAGTTGCTTGAGAGGCTGTACACTGTCATGAAATGTGCTAACTGTGTATTGCCTCCCTTTCTAGTCAGATATGTATAGCTTGGGTGTGATCCTGCTGGAGCTCTTTCAGCCATTTGGGACGGAAATGGAGCGTGCAGCGGTTCTCACAGGTGTCCGAGTGGGCCGGATCCCCGAGTCCCTCAGTAAGAGGTGTCCAGTGCAGGCCCAGTACATCCAGCTCCTGACCAGGAGGGATGCTTCCCAGAGGCCGTCTGCCCTGCAGCTGCTGCAGAGCGAACTTTTCCAAACATCTGGAAATGTAGGTAACTTTTTTAATCCTGGGGAAAATAGGAAACTTAAATTGAATGTGTTGAAATTGTGAATCTTATTTCATGGAAAACAGTTGAGCTTTGAATACAATTTTTGGAAATAAAATAGTGAATCTTGTTCTCACACCTCCCCATGTCAAGTGCTAGTGTGTGCCACTGGCACACCTGGATTCTTGTTCAGATGAGCAAGTGAGTAAGCAAGCTGGCTCATTGCCTGCACTGTGCTGCCCTAAAATGGTAATACGAGCTTCCATGTCCAGCTTCACTAAGCAATGAAAGGTTTTAGTTTTCCTTCCCAACCATAATAAAGAGCCTTTTCTAGATTATTATACAAGTATCTTTCTAGTCAAAAGGGACACAGACAGCAGTAACTCTGAGGACAATGGTGGCAGAGTTGACTTCAGAACCTTCAGGGTTCACAGCCAAGTGGAGTTGCCTTTGAGTCCAGTGGGATTTGGCTCCAGGGCTGACTTTCCCTTCCTCTTTCCTGCCATGTGGCTGCAGTGCCAAGAACAGTTCTCTGCAGATAAGACTGTTCCTCTAGAAACCTCCTAAGATACAATTGAAGCTTGGTTCAGGTCCCCAGCACGGTGATGAGTGGCGCCAGGGCTGCCGAAACCTGTATGTTAGCAGGATTCCTAGGTGGGTTTCAGGCAGTGTGAGAGCAGCAGGATATGAATGTGGCTCACCAAGCAGGGGCACCAGGTCAGAGCTGAAAATTCCCTGACACTTGGTAGACCTGACAGGTCCTCTCCAGTCATGCAGGATAGTGAAAGAAATCAGGGGAGGAGTAGTGCCTTTAAAAGAACCAACTCATGACACTGTCCAAAAAAAAGTCCCCATTCATTACCTGACCCATATAGCTATAACCCCTCTGTACATCACCTTTATAATAACCAAAAAATACATAAATTCTAAACAACAACAAAATAGAACCAGCTCATGCTGGGTGCTAGTGGCTTACACTTGTAATCCTAGCTATTCCAGGCTGAGATCTGAGGATCATGGTTCAACCCAGCCCAGGCAGGAAAAGTTCTTGAGACTCTTTCTCCAATTAACCACAACACAAAACAAGCCAGAAGTGGAGCCATGGCTCCAAGGGTAGAGTGCTAGTCTTGAGCAAAAAGGGGCTGGGAAGGTGGCTCAGTGGTAGAGCGCTTGGCTTGCATGCAGGAGGCCCTGGGTTTGATTCCTCAGCACCACATAAGCAAAAAGAAAAGAAGCAGGAAGTGGTGCTGTGACTCAAGTGGTAAAGCACTAGCCTTGAGCTGAAGAGCTGAGGGACAGCGCCCAGGCCCAAAGTTCAGGCCCCACGACTGGACCCAAAACAAACAAACAAAAAAGCTCAGGGACAGTGACAGAAACAAAACCAACCAAAAAAATAGGCTGACATATGGCTCATTAGGCCTAGCATGCTTAATACCTTTGATTTAAAACACAGCACCATCAAAACAACAAAAAGTAAAAAAGTCACCTGGGTCCCTCCCTGGAAGACCTGGCAGCACCATGTGTGACCTAATGTGCAGTAACAGTGAAGGCATGGTTGGCTCCTCCTCATCCCATCTGTGCACAGGGAGCTGTGGAGCACAGCACAGGATAGGTGTTATAGCTGCTTCCAGTGTGAGGTGAGGCCCACCTGTATATTTGGGAAACAGCTTTTTTTTGTTTTTTGTTGGTCATGGGGCTTGAACTCTGGGCCTGGGTGCTGACCCTCAGTTCTTCAGCTCAAGGCTAGCACTCTATTGCTTGAGCCACAGCGCCAGTTCCAGCTTTCTGGTGGTTTCCTGGAGATAAGAGTCTCACGGACTTTCCTGCTCGGGCTGGCTTTGAGCTATGATCCTCAGATCTCAGCCTCCTGAGTAGCTAGGATTACAGGTGTGAGCCACCATATCCAGCAGAAGTAACTATTTTAGTGGAGCTTAAAATTTTCTCTTCACAGGTGAATCTCACTCTACAGATGAAGATAATAGAGCAGGAGAAAGAAATCGAAGAACTGAAGAAGCAGCTGAGCCTCCTTTCTCAGTCCAAAGGGGTCAGGGGCTGACCTGGGCAATGTAGCTGACCCTGCCACCTCTAATGAGGTGACACCAGTCATCTGAAAGTGGACTTACACTCAAAGTAATCAACTGGAATGTATATTTTCAATCTTTCCCAGAGGTAGTGATATGATTATTGTGTTTAGCAAGCCTATATAAGACTTATTAAAGATGTAAAAGTATCTCCAACTGTCTCTTCCTTAAGGAGCCTTATGACCAACTACTCTAAATTGTACCTGTTTCTGTCCTCCTCTCTCCTCTCAAGCATTAATTCTTGTTGCTGTCAAGAACCCTCCAGAGGGGCTGGGAAGGTGGCTCAGTGGTAGAGCGCTTGCCTTGCATGCCTGCAGGCCCTGGGTTCGATTCCTCAGCACCACATAAGCAAAAAGAAAAAAGTCGGAAGTGGCGCTGTGGCTCAAGTGGTCGAACACTGGCCTTGAGCTAAAGAGCTGAGGGACAGCGCCCAGGTCCAGAGTTCAGGCCCAACCCAAAAAAAAAAAAAAAAAAAAGAAGAACCCTCCAGACGGTTCTGCTATGCAAGTCCATTATACTTCCTCCCTGTCACAGCCCATAACAGGTCCCCATTCTGACAGCTACCAGGCTTCCAATCCTTTCACGCTGCTGTCAGAGCCTTTCCAGAAACAATCACTTAAAAACTTTGGCTGCTCTGTGCACTTCTAAGATAACCTGGGGCCTCGCATCCACCCGTTTAGCTTTACTTTTCAGATAGGGTCTTGCCTTTATCTTGGATTGGCTGTGGACTGGATCTCCCTACTTCTACCTCCTGCATAGGTAAGGCCTATTGGTTGAGATGGTCTTGCTAATGTTTTGTTCTTGCTGGTTGAGAACTATGAGCTCCTGATCCCTAACTCCAAGTAGCTGGGATTACAAGCATAAGCCATTGCACCCAGTCAAAAGTTCAGCCTCTTAGCCCAGGGTACCACATTCAGCCTTTTTGTGTCTTCCAATTCTGTACCATTCACAACCATGCCCATGAACTTGGGAGTGATTTCAGAGCAGCAGACATCCTTCCTGCCTTTTCCACAGTCCTATACATTGCTACTCCTCCCCACCCGCCCAACGCACTCCCCACCATAGGAACACTAGCAGAGGCAGCAACCCAGTGTACCCACTTTTGAATCCCTGGAAAGTGCCCCCTACATAGTTGGGAGGAAGTCATGGTGTGTGTTGTCATTTTGCTGAAGTTCAATAAAACAAGTCCCATAAATTATATGGTGCTTTTATTGATAATGTGATAATTGATCTAAATAAAAACACTTGGTTTTAATCCAAGTCCCTGTCCTGACCACAGGCGGAAGGAGCACCATTGTTCAACAGGAGCACTTGCTGGTATCACTTGAGGAGTGCCAGCGTGGTGCTGAAGGGGGCCAGGTTCTCACATGAGCGCAGCCATCGCTGCACATTGGCGGGGGCAGCACCGCAGCCTTCAGTCTGCTGGAGCACAGCCCATAGCACCACGTCTGCCACGGTGAGCTCCTGCCCCACCAGCCACGGGCTCTTGCCCAGGGCAGAGTTCATGGAGCGGAAAACAGCTGCTTTTTCTTTGCTGCTTCCCTCTTTGAGCTGAAACATCGCGATATCCACCCAGCTATCTATGAGGGTTAAGTTCACCGCGTTGTGCTTCTGACCAAACAGAGAAAACAGGAACCTTGCAATGTTCCCTTCCCCTTCAATGGGGCACATCGTCTGGACGCTGAACTTCATCTGAGTCTTGGGCACTGAAAGGGAAAAACATGCTGTGTGGACCTGTGCTTGCAGAAGTCGTCCCTGGAATCACAAACTGACAAGGCAATGTGTTTCCAAGAACCTTGCATTTTTTCATCTGTCTTCAGGAGGTTGAATGGTTGAGTGTTTAAATGCAAACTAGATGTTCAAAACAGTCACGGAAGCTGGGAGCTGGTGGCTCATGCCTATAATCCTAGCTACTTAAGAGGCTAAGGTCTGAGGATGGTGGTTCAAAGCCAGCCTAGGCAAAGAAGTCTGTAAGAGTCATCTCCCAGTTCATCACCAAAAAGCCAGAAGTGGAGCTATGGCTCAAGTGGTAGAGTACCAGCCTTGAGCAAAAAAGCTCAGGGACAGCTCCCAGACCTCAAGTTGAACCCTCAGGGCTGGCACAAAAAACACCCAAAACCATAAAGTAGTCACCAGGCATTCCATCACTCAGGCTGGGCCCTCTCCCCTCCTGTGCTCTCCTTATGTGTGGCCAGTTAAGGAGTCACTATGAAAAGAACACAGCTGGATGCTGGTGGCTCACACCTATAATCCTAGCTACTCAAGAGGCTGAGATCTGAGGATTGTGGTTCAAAGTTGGTCCAGGCAGAAAAGTATATGAGATTTATCTTCAATTAACCACCAGAAAACTTAGAAGTGGTGCTGTGGCTCAAAGTGGTGGAGCACTAATCAAACAGAAAAGCTCAGAGAGAGTGCCCAGGCCCTGAGTCAAGCCCCATGAACCACAATAAAAGGATAACGCCTGTAGTCTTGGAACCAGTTTTGGAATGGCTAAGAGCCACTCCTGCTGCTGTGCCTGGACAGGATCCTTTCCTGCAAGGCTCAGAATTCTTCCTGTAACTTTTCGCTGAGACCCTTTCCACCATAACCTCCCAGAACAAGGGTAGCTTGCTGTCCTGGGACCACCAACCACAAGCTTTTGAGCCTTAGAGAACTGGACCTGTGGGCAAACACCTGGAACCTGTCTGCCATAGAACATCCTGTCCCTTGCCTTTCTGTCTAGTTGTGCAGGCCTCTGTACATACCATTCTTCCAAATTAAAGTGAAGCCCAGCTGGTACTCATGACGGGGCTGTTTTCTGGTCTGTTCCCCAAAGCACTTGAGAAGATTTTCAGGGACGCTCTTGACTGATGAGTGTGTGTGCACGGTGGACAGGACCCGGTAGTGCTCACACAGCAGCCTGTGCAGCACCAGCAGGGAGAGGGGAGGGGAGGCAGGGTTTGCATTGATCACGATGTCCTTCAATGCCCCATAATCCTGAGGGAGAGACCAGAACAATGGAGCCAACAAGGGCACAGATATAGTTGGGTGCTGTGGCTCACACCTATAATCCTAGCTACTCAGGAGGCTGAGATGTGAGGATCACAGTTCGAAGCCAGCCTGGGCAGGAAAGTCTGTGAGACTCCTAGCCTTCAGCATGAAAGCTCAGAGATAGCACCCAGGTCCTGCATTCAAGTCCCAGTACAGGCACAAAATAACAAGAACACAGGTGTCTCAAGTGCTACTGTAGACTTAACCAGGGTCATGTCACTGAATCATGGTTCTTCCATTAGAAGGAGCTGCTATGATTCCATTTTACAGCTGGGAAAACTCCACTCCTGGGAAGGCAGATAGCTTATTCTGTCACTGAGCCACATAAGAAGCAAGTAGAGTGGGCTGGCAATGTGGCTTAATGGTACAGTACTTGCCTTGCATGCATGAACCATGGGTTTAATTCCTTAGTACCACATAAACAGAAAAAGCCGGAAGTGGCACTGTGGTTTATGTGGTTTATGTGGTCTTGAGCAAAAGAAGCTCAGGGACAGTGCCCAGGCTCTGAGTTTGAGACCCAGGACTGGCAAAAAAAAAAAAAGAATTCACTGTCAAGTCCATCACACAGCTTAGAGATGACACCTATTTGTCTGCTCTACCTCATGGAAACTATTTAGAAAAAAAAAAAACAGACATTTATTCCAGCTATTAAGTCTAAGAGCTGGCTGGATAGTTTCCATACCAATTTGTATTCAAGGTGTTTCAATGAAGAGACCTTTTTTTAAAAAAGTCTTGGCTTAGCTGGGCACTGCTGGCTCAAGCCTGTATTCCTAGCTACTCAGGAGGCTGGGATCTGAGGATCGTGGTTGAAAGCCAGGTTGGTCAGGAATGTCTGTGAGACTCTTATCAACAATTAACTACCAAAAAGCCAGAAATGGAGCTGTGGCTCAAGTGGTAGAGCCCAATTCAGCACTTAGGCTCTGAGTTCAAGCCCCAGAACCAGCACAAAACAAAAACACACTCTTTGCTCCACCTTTAAAATCTACAAGACCAAGGCAAAAATCACACGGGCACAACATTCTTGACAGTAACATGGGAGCACATCTCCCACCTTTCAAAATGAGCGTACCTTCCCAAGCACTGAGTTCAAGTCCAGAGCACTGGTGCTCACCGCTGGGGACTCATCTGCTGGCAGGATGTTAGTTACGTCGATGTCCGCATCTGGGGTATGAATCATTTTGGAGAGGCCATCGACTGCTGCCTTCAGCTCATACAGCCGCTTCAAAATATCATCTTGGCGGGACTCGAGTGCTTGCAGAGATGGGTCAGACGTTTCCTAAAGAGACCAGTATGTAGGGCTGGGAAGGTGGCTCAGTGGTAGAGTGTTTGCCTCCCATGTAGGAGGCCCTGGGTTCAATTCCTCACCACCACATACAGAAAAAGCTAGAAGTGACACTGTGGCTCAAGTGGTAGAGTGCTAGCCTTGAGCTGAAGAGCTGTGGGACAGTGCCCAGGCCCAGAGTTCAAGCCCCATGACCAACAACAACAAAAAAAGAGACCACTATGCGAGCAGTCATTGCTTCCCACCTCAGGAGGCTGGCCTACAGGTGACCGCCATGTGTCTAATTTTGTTACAGGCATCCACTCAGCTCCCATGCTTTAAAAGCCATGGAGAATCATCTCCATTTTCCCCATCCAACAGGTCCTACAAGGAAGCCCATTGGTGACTTAAGTGTTATTGCAGGTGATTTAGTGGAAGAACAGAGAATGATGGAAAATGAACACAAATCATAAATTATTCTTTACTTCTTTGTGCATGTGGGTGTGGGTCAGAGAGAGAGAGACAGAGAGAGACAGACTGACTGACTGACAGACAGACAGACAGACAGACACCCAGACTGGACTTGAGACCGACCTGCCTCAGCCTCCCAAATGCTAGAATCAGCACCTGTCATGGATGATGCTCTACCACATGAGCCATGTTTTTACTTCTAGCCTTTGCTAATTAACTTGAGATAAGATTCTCTCAGACATGGGCTGGGAAGGTGGCTCAGTGGTAGAGTGCTTGCCTTGCATGCATGAAGCCCTGGGTTCGATTCCCAAGCACCACATAAGCAAAAAGAAAAAAGCCGGAAGTGGCGCTGTGGCTCAAGTGGTAGAGCGCGCTAGCCTTGAGCTGAAAGCTGAGGGACAGCGCCCAGGCCCACAGTTCAGGCTCCACAACTGGACCCAAAAATTTAAAAAAAAAAAAAAAAAAAAAAAAAAAAAAAAGATTCTCTCAGACACTTTCTTTTTTGGCGGGGGGGGGGGGGGGGGGGGGGAGATGGTGTCGGTCATGGGGCTTGAACTTGAACTCTGGGCCTGGGCATTGTCCCTCAGCTCTTCAGCTCAAGGTGAGCACTCTACCACTTGAGCCACAGCTCCACTTCCAGTTTTCTGGTGGTTTATTGGAGATAAGAGTCTCATGGACTTTCCTGCCCAGGCTGGCTTTGAACTGTGATCCTCAGCATTAGGATTACAGGCATGAACCACCAGTGCCTGGCTTCTCTCAGACATTTATGTGCTCAGGCTGGCTACAAACTGAGAACCTCAGATCTCAGCCTACTGAGTAGCTAGCTAGGATTATAGGAGTGAGCCACAGCACTTTATCCCTTTTTAATTTTAAAAGATAGGTTCCTAGGCTGGCTGTGAACTCTTAGGCTCCAGTGGTCCTCTTGTTTCATCCTCCCACTATGCCAGGCACCCTTCATATTAATCATAGGTCAATTAAAATATTTTGCTTAAGGGGCTGGGAAGGTGGCTCAGTGGTAGAGCGCTTGTCTTGAGTGCATGAGGCCCTGCGTTCGATTCCTCAGCACCACATAAGCAAAAAGAAAAAAGCTGGATGTGGCGTTGTGGCTCAAGTGGTAGAGCACTAGCCTTGAGCTGAAGAGCTGAGGGACAGCGCCCAGGCCCAGAGTTCAGGCCCCACGACCAGATCGCCCCCCCCCCCCCAAAAAAAATATTTTGCTTAAATGAGTAGAAAAAAGGTGGGAGAGAGTTATTGAGAATGTAAGAAGAATTGATACAGACAAGAAAAAGGGAACTCAGAGTTTATAAAAGAAGTCTCCTCTAGTTTGCATGCAGGTCCCTTGGTAAGTGAGCAAATCCCTGAAACTTTTTAAGGCAGCTTAGTGTACACTTTTACCTTAGATCAGCTAGGACTTTTCCTAGCTGATTCCATGAAGACAGAACACTTAGATCCTCTTGGCACGGAGTCTGGGTCCTTCCTGCTAAGCCCAGTGTCTGGTGCACAGTAAGCAACCAAGAATACAATTTGTATTGCTCTCATGTGCCCTGGATGATGACACACTTGATTTCTAATTATCTGTCCACTTATACCATTAGCATCTGCTAGAACAGCAGTACTGGGTGTCTTCTAAGTCAGAAGTTCACAGATCAAGACTGGTATGATAAAGTACGCTTGTAATCCCAGTGGCTTGGGAAGTGGAGCTGGGAGGATTGAAATCAGAGGTCATCCCTGGGCAAACATGAGACCTGCTCTCATTTTTTTTGTCAGTCGTGGGGCTTGAACTCTGGGCCTGGGCACTGTCCCTCAGCTCTTCAGCTCAAGACTAGTGCTCTACCTCTTGAGCCACAGAGCCACTTCCAGATTTTTCTGCTTATGTGGTGCTGAGGAATCAAACCAAGGGCCTCATGCATGCAAGGCTAGAGCCACCTTCCCAGCCCAACCTGCCCTCATTTGAAAAACAAAATAAAGCAAAAAGATATGGTGGCATGACTCTAGGCCACTAAAAAAAATCCACAGTCAAAATCTCAGAGGAAGCAAGACTTCAAACAAAACTTGATCCCGCCAGGAACTGGTAGCTCACTCCTGTAATCCTAGCTACTCAGGAGGCTGAGATCTGAGGATCGAGGTCCAAAGCCAGCATTGTCTGGAAAGTCTGTAAGAATCTTATCTCCAATTAACCACCAGAAAACCAGAAGTAGCTCTGTGGCTCAAGTGGTAGAGTGCTCACCTTGAGCTGAAGAGTTCATGTGACAATGCCCAAGCCCAGAGTTGAAGCCTCACAAGCAAAAAAAAACCAAAAAAACAAAAACCCAAAAAACAAAAAATGTGGTCTCTGTTAAAGAGATGCCTTCTCTACTCTGGGTTTTCTTTTTGGTTCACTGGGACTGACATACAGGGGCACTGGACCATGTATGTCTCCATGGTAGTGAAGGACCACTGATCCACAGTTGTCATTTGTCTTAGCTCTGTGATGAGACAACTTGTGAACATCTGGGTTTCAAACTAACCTCACTCGCTTCCAATCCAAAGGGAAAGAAAGGCAGTAGGACAAAGTGAAAGATGTAATCACAGAGAACATATGTCCTCCCATTTCCTGTTAGAAGGTTTAGAATGTTTCCTTCTGGAAACCTCATGTATGTGTTTGCAAGTGATAAATGAAAGACTTAAGAAGTAAATACTTAGAAAAGAAGTTATCAAAATAGCCGGGAAATATGAAAAGGAATAATTATTATTACACCTGTAATCCTAGCTATTCAGGAAGCTGAGATCTGAGGACTGCAGTTCAAAGCCAGCCCTGGCAGGAAAGTCTATGAGAGTCTCATCTCCAATTAATGACCAAAAAGCTAGAAGTAGAGCTGTGGCTTAAGTAGGAAAGAGCTGGGGTTGAGTGAAAAAGCTCCCAGGCTGAGTTCAAGCCGAAATGCTGGACAAAAAAAAAAAAAAGAGTTGGGAAAATTCTGTTTGCAGGATGACAAGTGCCAGGAATTATTCTCCTCAGTTAGTTGAGTATAAGTAAATCAATATTAAGACTTAAACAAAGGGGTTGGGAAGGTGGCTCAGTGGTAGAGTGCTTGTCTTGCATGCATAAGGCCCTGGGTTCGATTCCTCAGCACCACATAAGCAAAAAAAAAAAAAGCTGGAAGTGGCACTGTGACTCAAGTGGTAGAGCGCTAGCCTTGAGCTGAAGAGCTGAGGGACAGCGCCCAGGCCCAGAGTTCAGGCCCCATGACTGGACCCAAAAAAGAAAAAAAGAAGAGAAAAAAGAAAAAGAAAAAAAAAAGACTTAAACAAAGGACTGGAGGCAACACCCTGAGTTCAATCCCCAATTGGAGACTCAATCTCCAATTAACAACAAAAAGGCAAGGCTGAAGGACTGATAAAAATAATAGTGTCAGCACAGCAAGTATGACCCTGAGATCAAACCTCAGTTGGGAGAAGAGGGCTTGGGGAGGATTCACTACAGAATTATTCATAACAGCAGAAAAATGGAAAAGAGTGCAGTGCCCATGAACATCAAGAAGGAGTAGAATAGCATACTGCAAAGAATATGACTACTTTATAGTTGCAATCAATGACTCAAAAGTCATGTGCCCAAAAACCACATAGATATAGTAGACTATAGAACAGGGCCTTTGGAGAAAAAGTTGTAAGTGGGAGGGGCGGCAGTGCTGGCAATGTCACCAGTTAACCTGGGAGGTGGCGACCCTTAGATTGTTGGCTCTGTAAATTCCTCAAAAATGAGCCATTTATGCATTACTCTTCTATGGGGTACAATTTCTCTGTATAAAAGCTTAAGCAGTCACGTGCCAAAAAAAAAAAAAAAAAGGAAAGAAAAGATGGGCAGATCTCTTAAGGTATCCCTGGCAGCCTGGTCAAGGATAAGACTCATACAAGCCAGGTGGAACCACGCCCGCCCAAGCCAGGAAAACCAGGGCCAAGTCTACCGCGGCGCCTGCGCACTGGGCAGCTGGGGGCAGGGGGAGAGCGGGGCACGGCCCAGCCAGGGCTGCAGCGCCTGCGCACTAGGCAGGTGGGGGGCGGGGCACAGCCAGGCCAGACTTCGGCGCCTGCGCACTGGGTGGGAGCCGCACACTCCTACCTGCACGTGGCCCGCGTGGGTCGCGGGGTTGCCAGTCCTGCCGTGCACGTTGGGGAGCCGGTACATGCAGGTTGGAAGCTCTACACGCAGAGGTGCGCCGCCCCCGTGATAGGGTTTTACCTGGTACATCGGCATCGCGGGGACCAAAGAAGGAAGGTGGGCGAGGGACACGAACGCTCACAAACCGTCAGAGGACGCCACGCACAGCTGCTACCGTGTTTCGGACTTAGCTGCTGGCGTAACGAAAAGAAAAAAAAAAATGCAGTCTGTGCGCTCTAATTGGTCCAGCCTGTATGACGACACATGCTCGACCTTTAATATTACCAATCAGCGAGAAGGAAACCTGGGAACCATTTGCTGTCCCGCCCGGAAGGGGGTGGCGATCTATGTCAAAACCAGCCAATCAGCTCTCATGAGAGCCAGCCCTTGTGGAAGCGGCGGCCGGAAGAACCCCCGCGGTCTCCCGGAGTCGCTCGGAGTCCATGGAGCTTGCCGCGGGATCGAGGTGAGCCCGACTATGTCGGAGTGTCCTTTCTGGGTTCCACGACGTTCCATCTCCCTAGAAAAGGGTCGGAAGTGGCCGAGGCGCGTGGCGAACCCGCAGCACACGGGGCCTGAGTCGCGTCCTTAGCGCCCCGGGCCCCGTTCGGGGAAGGAGGCGGGACGAGGTGGATGTCCTGTCCCGGTGCCTGGCCAGAGCGGGAAAGTCGGCGCCTAGGAGTTCAGGGTTCGTCCCACCCGGGCCGGCTGCCCTGTGAGGTCTTGCATGAAATCCCTGTAGACGGATTGACTTCCTTTCCTTTCCCTTTTATTTGGCGCCTGCCTCTTTAATTGAGAGTACCGGCCGGGGACTGACCAGGGCACGCTACTTTTTCTGGGTTGCAGGTGTTTTTTTCCTGTATGTGATTTATGCCTGGCAAGCTACAACGAAATCCAGCGGCGATCTGCGGCCTGCTCTCCCATTGTGTTCAATGTCAAAAGACGTAGCTGTAAATTCTCTGTCAATATTTAAATACCCGCCCCCACCTCCTCTATTCAACATAAGCATCACAAACTGCTAGATTAATTTGTAGGGTGAGAGGGAGTTTCCATTTCGTGCGAAGTCATCTGTAGACCAACAATTGAGATTGCTTGACTTGTAAAATGAAGCGTAAAGTGGTTGCTTTCATTCTTTTATTTCATTGGAAATGAAAGATCTGCTACTTGGTGAATACCCAGAGATCTCTCTCCCAGGGAAGCCCTGGGTCCCTGCCAAATGCAAATCAAATTTTAAGCTAATAGACAATGGAATACTCATCCTTTTTTTTTTCTCGGTTGTGGGCCCTGAACTCTGGGCCTGGGCGCTGTCTCTCAGTTCTTCAGTTCAAGGATAGCGCTCTACCACTTGAGCCACAGCACCACTTCTGGCTTTTTCTGCTTATGTGGTGCTGAGGAATCGAACCCTGGGCCTCATGCATGCAAGGCAAGCACTCTACCACTGAGCCACCTTCCCAGCCCCCCACTCGTCCTTTTTTTTTGGGGGGGTGGTTCTGGTCATGGGGCCTGAACTCTGGACCTGGGTGCTGTCCCTCAGCTCTTCAGCTCAAGGCTAGAGCTCTACCACTTGAGCCACAGTGCCACTTCCGGCTTTTTTTCTTTTTGCTTATGTGGTACTGAGGAATCAAACCCAGAGCCTCATGCATGGAAGGCAAGCGCTCTACCACTGAGCCACCTTTCCAGCCCCCCACTCATCCATTTTTAAGCCTAAAAAATATTTGACTAGATTAAAAAAAAAAACAACAACCAAAAAACCACAATCACCAGGTGCTGGTGGCTCACGCCTGTAAACCTAGCTACTAAGGAGGCTGAGATCTGAGGATCTCGGTTCAAAGCCAGCCCAGGCAGGAAAGTCCATGACACTCTTAACTCCAATTAACCACCAGGAAACCGGAAGTGGCGCTTTGGCTCAAGTGTTGAGCGCCAACCTTGAGCTAAAGAGCTGAGAGTCAGCACCCAGGGCAGAGTTCAAGTCCCACAAGGGACAATAAATAAATAAATAAATATCACAAGTCAAACTGGGCCACTGGTTTCTCATGCCTATAATCCTGCTACTCAAGAGGCTAAGATCTGAGGATGACAGATGGAAGCCAGCCAGAGCAAGAAAAGTCTCTGAGATTCTTATCTCCAATAAAATACTCAGAAAAAGCTGGAAGTGGGACCATGGCTCAAATAGTAGTGTGCTAGCTAGCATTGAGCAAAAGTTCAGGGACAGTGTACAGGCCTTGAGTTCAAACCTTAGGACCAGGGACCCCCAACCCCCCCCCCAAAAAAAATTACTAGGGGTAGCACAGAGGATGGATTTTGAGCAAAATTGCTGTAAAACTTGGATCAACTGGGTGTGGTGGTTTATGCCTGTACTCCCAGCAGTTGGGAGACAGGCCAGGAGGATCACAAGTCCAGGCCAGTCTGGGATACATAATGAGACTAATTAAAAACATAACAATTTTGGGGCTTTTGCCAAGGCAGCAGTGGGCAATCAGGATTTCAATGGCAACTGTGGGAGTAATAGTTCTTTTACAGTTGGTACCCAGTTTCTGAGAAGATTTTAGGGCAAACACTGTTTCCTACTATACTCCTAGCTTTTCAAGTTATATAGAGAATAGTACTTTACTTTCAAGAAAGCAGACAATGTTGTAAAATATGAAGATGGAGGTGCATGCTGGTGCATACTTATAAGCCAAGCCATTTGGGAGGCTGAGGCAGAATGATCCCCAGTTCTAGACCATCTTGGACCACAGTGAGAACCTGTCTCAAACTTCCCTTTCCTGCCTGCCCTACCTCCAAAAAGAAATTATATTTTTGCTTGAGAGAGGCAGCATATATACATACTCCTTCATGTATGCTCATGTATAATTGGATTTTAAGTACTTATTTGATTCTATTCAGAAGGGTTTTTTGTTTTTTTTTTTTGCCAGTCGTGGACCTGAACTCTGGGCCTAGGCGCTGTCCCTCAGCTCTTCAGCTCAAGGCGAGCACTCTACCACTTGAGCCACAGCGCCACTTCCAGCTTTTTCTGTTTATGTGGTGCTGAGGATCGAACCCAGGGCCTCAGGCATGCAAGGCAAGCACTCTACCACTGAGCCACCTTCCCAGCCCTAGAAGGGTTTTTTTTTAACCTTTTTTTTTTGGGGGGGGGGGGGGGGGGTGAGACCAGAACTTGAACTCAGTACCTACCACTTTTGCTTCTTAGCTAGTGCTCTACCAACTGAGTTACACCTCCAACCTCCTATTTTTTTTGACATTTTTAAAGATTGTAGTGCATGCAACACGTACATTTGTGTGCAGATAACAATAAAAGCAATTAACTAATAACAACTAATTTGTTTCCCACAGTTAAAATTGTTATGAAAATCCATCACTTGCTTTGTTTGAACGCTTGCCTCATGTCTTGTAATTGATTTCTTTAGTACAGAGCTCACAAAGGCCATCAAACCTATCGATGGGAAGTCAGTTCATCAGATTTGTTCTGGGCAAGTGGTCCTAAGTTTAAGCACTGCTGTAAAGGAGTTGGTTGAAAATAGTGTGGATGCTGGTGCCACTAGTATTGGTAAGTTTCATGAGTAATAAGAAATAAGATTATGCTGCTTATTTTAGAAAATTTGTTACTGCCTAAAACAATCAAGTACTGGTTTATCTTAATGGTAACAAATACTGAGTGTCTAGAACTTAACTTGATGGCAAGAATACTAGCAGTTCATTTCTACAGTGTTCCTGCTATATGCTAAGTAGAATTGTATATCACATATCTCTTTTAATATGCAGAGCAACTGAATTAAGAGTTACCATCTTGGGGCTGGGAAGGTGGCTCAGTGGTAGAGTGCTTGCCTTGCATGCCTGAGGCCCTGGGTTCGATTCCTCAGCACCACATCAGCAGAAAAAGCCGGAAGTGGCCCTGTGGCTTAAGTGATAGAATGCTAGCCTTGAGCTGAAAAGCTGAGGGACCGTGCCCAGGCCCAGAGTTCAGGTCCCACGACTGGCCAAATAAAAAGTTATCATCTTGATTATACAGATGAAGAAATTTGCTTTTTTGAAGTGATAAAGCTAGTAAAATATGGTCCAGGACATTGGATTTTAGCCTGTTCTTCTTAATAACTATTATCTTTGTAAAAGAAAAAAAAAACATATACATATGTGTTTGTAACTTAAAAAGACTTTTTTTGGGTCCGGTCGTGGGGCCTGAACTCTAGGCCTAGGCGCTGTCCCTCAGCTCTTCAGCTCAAGGCTAGCGCTCTACCACTTGAGCCACAGCGCCACTTCCAGCTTTTTTCTTTTTGCTTATGTGGTGCTGAGGAATGGAACCCAGGGCCTCATGCATGCAAGGCAAGCGCTCTACCACTGAGCCACCTTCCCAGCCCCTCTCCCCCACTTTTTTTTTTTGATTCGTTGTGGGACTTATGGGACTTAAATTCAGGGCCTGTGCAATGTCCCTGCGCTTTTTCACTGAAGGCTAGTGCTCTACCACTTTGAGCCACAGCTCCACTTGCAGTTTTCTGGTAGTTAATTGGAGATAAGTCTCACCAACTTTCCCACCCAGGATGGCTTTGAACTTTGAATCTGGGATCTCAGCCTCATGAGTAGCTAGGATTACAGGCGTGAGCAGCCAGTACCCAACCAACTTAAGAAGGATTTTGCAAAAAACGGGATTGAGGATGTTATGGTATTAGAGTATTTACATAGAGTATGCAGAGCCCCTGGCTTCAGTCTCTGTCACTGCAAATAGAAATAACCAGACAAATAAATAAAATGTATGGACTGGTAACAGTTTACTTAAAAGTATTATAGGGCTTGGTGCAGTGACTCAAGCCTGTAATATTAACTACTTGAGGACAGAGATGTCCAACACCAGCCCAGGGGAAAAGCTTCATGAGAGACCTCCACCTCCATCTCAACCCATAAAAGCTGGGCATGATGGTATATATATATGCCTGTCAACCCAGATATGTTGAAAGCATCATTAGGAAGGTTGTGATCCAGGCTGGCCCCAGGCATAAATTCTAATGAAAAAAAAAGCTGCTGAAGATGTGGCTCCTGCTGCTGAAGGAGCACAAGGCCCTGAATTGCAATCCTAATCCTGCCCTCCAAAAAAGGTATAGTTATGATTTCTAAATTCATATTATATAACAATGCCAATCCAAAAGCTTTGAGCAGGGGTCAGTCGTTGAGAAGTAAATTTTCTTTTTCTTTTTTTTCTCTTAAGATCTCAGGCTTAAAGATTATGGGGTGGATCTCATTGAAGTTTCAGACAACGGATGTGGGGTAGAGGAAGGAAACTTTGAAGGCTTAGGTAAGGCCAGCTTTTCTAATCCTATTATAAAATAATTGGGCCAAATGCCTGAGAATTTTTCGTAGCAGTGTCTTGTCTTCAATCACAAAAATAACTGAAAAGTAGCAGTGTCTTAATCTTCAGTCACAAAAATGACTAAAAAGACACAAGCTGTGTAGGTACCACATCTTCATTGCTGCCCCTCTTGACACATTTCAGACCTCACTTTCCACTCTTTTTCAGCTCTGAAACATCATACTTCTAAGATTCAAGAGTTTGCTGACCTCACCCAGGTTGAAACTTTTGGCTTTCGGGGAGAAGCTTTGAGCTCACTCTGTGCACTGAGGTGATATGTCATTTTTATCCATTTATATTAACCCCTTTGAAAAACCTTCTGAAAATTCCAGGGTCTGATTAGATTCAATATTGTTGAAATCTCCCAACTTCTGATTTATCTTACTGCCAATCTACATGATATATACTTCTAGAAATACCTTGAACAGATGAGTAAAATGAAGTAAATAGTATTATAAGAATGTGTTACCTGTCGTAAAGCAGAAATTCCTCAATTGTGAAGTAATGCAGAGGAGGTATAGCCCCAGGTAGAGAACTTGCCAAATATGAGTGAGGCCCTGAATTTGATTCCTAGCACTGTCCAAAAAAAAGCAAGATGAGTAACACAGACAAATTCTAGATTACAGTTAGTTTATCTTTAAGTTTTTAGGAAGATCTTCACCAAGGCCCATATTTGATATAGCTTTGAATTCTTTTTTTTTTTTCTTTCTTTCTTTTTTTTTTTTGTCAGTCATGGACCCTGAACTCTGGGCCTGGGCACTGTCCCTCAGCTCTTCAGCTCAAGGCTAGTGCTCTACCACTTGAGCCACAGCGCCACTTCTGGCTTTTTTCTTTTTGCTTATGTGGTTCTGAGGAATCGAACCCAGGGCCTCATGCGTGCAAGGCAAGTGCTCTACCACTGAGCCACCTTCCCAACCCCTATAGCTTTGAATTCTAAGTCTTTATAATTACTAACACATTTAAATTGTACTATCTTTTAGATGTTTTAAAATTTTTTTGCTAGAGCATTAGTAACAAAACTGAGAAAGATATCTTCATGAGTGAATAATTTTTGAGGTCCTTTGTAGTGTAACATAAAAAGGAAATGAAAGCTGGGCGCCGGTGGCTCATGCCTGTAATCCTAGCTACTCAGGAGGCTGAGATCTGAGGATCTCGGTTCAAAGCCAGCCTGGGCAGGAAGGTCCATGAGACTCTTATCTCCAATAAACCATCAGAATACCAGAAGTGGCATTGTGGCTAAAATGGTAAAGCGCGCCTTGAGCTGAAGAGCTGAGGGACAGCACCCAAGCCCAGAGTTCAAGCCCCACGACCAACAAAAAAAGAAAAAAAGAAAATGAAATCAAAGCTTGCATCAAAACACAGAATTTACAGAGCTTTTAATTGCCAAACTGTAGATTTATTTATTTATTTATTTATTTTTGGTTGGTCATAGGGCTTGAACTCTGGATCCCTCAGCTCTTTGGCTCAAGGCGAGCACTTTACCACTTGAGCCAAAGCACCACTTCCAGTTTTCTGGTGGTTTATTGGAGATGAGTCTCCAATTATAGGCGTGAGCCACTGGTTCCCAGCTCAAACCATAGATATTTATCACGACTGTCACCCATTTAAAACTTGGTTGTCTCAAAAGATCATCACTTATTTTGTACTGATGCTGGGCTTGAACTGGGCTTGAGTGTTCCCCTGAGCTGTTTTGCTCAACGCTAGTGCTCTATCACTTGAACTACAGCTCCACTTCCAGTTTTTTTGGTGCTTATTGAAGATAAGTTTCAGGGACTTTCCTGCCTGTGTTGGCTTCAAACTGTCATTATCCTTGGATCTCAGCCTCCTGAGTAGCTAGGATTATAGTTGTGAGCCACTAGCACCTCGCCCAATCATCACTTTTTTTTTTTTGTCAGTCTCAGGACTTGAACTCTGGGCCTGGGCACTGTCCCTGAGCTCTTCAGCTCAAGACTAGTATTCTGCCACTTGAACCACAGAGCCACTTCCAGTTTTCTGGTGGTTAATTGGAGATAAGAATCTCACAGACTTTCCTGCCCTGCCCGCGCTGGCTTTGAACCCTGATCCTTAGATCTCAGCCTCCTGAGTAGCTAGGATTACAGGTATGAGCCACAGGCATCCAGCCAATCATCACATTTTTAAGAGACTTGTTAGAGAAAAGAAAAAGGAAACATTTGTGTTCTGTGTGAAGTCCTTGTGAGTCTCTAATGAGATAGGCCTCACTCAGCTTTCTCTTGTAGTGATGTAACTATTTCTACCTGCCACGCATCTTCAAAAGTGGGGACCCGACTGGTGTTTGATCACAATGGGAAAATTATCCAGAAAAACCCCTACCCACGGCCCAAGGGGACCACAGTCACTCTGCAGCATTTGTTCTATACGCTCCCTGTGCGCCATAAGGAATTCCAAAGGAATATTAAAAAGGTATGGCATGGTCACATCCCAGTCATGTCAGGCACATGAGAAAAGATTTATTAACCAAAACAATTCTTGTTCAGTCGATTCTTAGGTTTTTTTTTTCCTTTGCTTTAGTTTCAGATATGGTCTTACATTTTTTATCAGAGCTGGCCTCTGGTATCAGAGCTGGCCTCTGGCCATAATCTTCTGATCTCTGCCTCCTAAGATTATAGACATGTGCCACCAGTCCTGGCCCTTACACTTAGTTTTTGTTTTTGTTTTTTTTGTTTTGTTTTAATTGTTGTTGATGGTTTTTTTGGCGATGGGGCTTCAACTCTGGTCCTGGGCGCTGTCCCTCAGCTCTTCAGCTCAAGGCTAGTGCTCTACCACTTGAGCCACAGCGCCGCTTTCTCCCTTAGTTTTTTTTTTTTTGGGTCCAGTCATGGGGCCTGAACTCTGGGCCTGGGCACTATCCCTCAGCTCTTCAACCCAAGGCTAGCGCTCTACCACCTGAGCCACAGCGCCACTTCCGGCTTTTTTTCTTTTTGCTTATGTGGTGCTGAGGAATCGAACCCAGGGTCTCAGGCATGCAAGGCAAACGCTCTACCACTGAGCCACCTTCCCAGCCCTCTCCCTTAGTTTTTAAAGATAGGGTTTGTTTGCTTTTTCTCAACAAAGACATAGAGAGCCTTGTGTTATGAGCTGTTGTGCTATGTTGTACTGGCCTTTCTATAAAGATACATTTGGTGTGTGTGTGTGTGTGTGTGTGTGTGTGTGTGTGTGTGTGTGTGTGTGTGTGTGTGTGTGTGTGTGTGTGTGTGTGTGTGTGTGGGTGTGTGTGTGTTGTGGGTGTGTGTGTGTTGTACTGGCCTTTCTATAAAGATACATTTGGTGTGTGTGTGTGTGTGTGTGTGTGTGTGTGTGTGTGTGTGTTTAAATAAGGAACAAAACATCCAAGGGAGGGTGTGATGAACACCTATAAACCCAGCATGAGATAGAAGAATCGCATGTTCAAGGCCAGCCTGGGTTACATAGTGAGACCGTATCTATTTTTTTTTTTTTTTAATTTTTTAGGAGAAGGATTACATGGTTAAGTAGAATATACCTTTTTCTTTCTTTTTTTTTGCCAGGCCTGGGGCTTGATCTCTAGGCCTGGGCACTGTCCCTGAGCTTCTTTTTGCTCAAGGCTAGCACTCTACCACTTGAGCCACAGCACCACTTCTGGCTTTTTTTCTGTTTAAATGGTACTGAGGAATCAACCCCAGGGCTTCATGCATGCGAGGCAAGCACGCTACCACTAAGCCACATTCTCAGTCCCACTTTTTTGTTCTGCTTTGTTTAAGACTGCACTTCAGAGCACAGGCTGTCCTTGAACTCAGGATCCTCCTGCCTCAGCTGCCTGTGTGTGGGCTTTCAAGTCTGTACCACCATGCTGTTAAGGAAATGCTTTTTTTTTAGGTCCTTCTGTCAGAAACTCTTGCCCTCATTCCTGAGATGATCACATTTTTTTTTTGTCAGTCCTAGAGCTAGAACTCAGGACAAAGGTGCCGTTCCTCGGTTTCTTTTTGCTCAAGGCTAGCTCTCTACCACTAGAGCTGTAGCTCTATTTTCAGCTCTTTGTGGTTAATTGGAGGTAAGAGTCTCATGGACTTTGCTGCCTGAGCAGGCTTTGAACCGTGATCCTCTGATCTCAGAGTCCTGAGGATTACAGACATGAGCCACTGGCATCTGGCTTATAATATGAGAGCTTGGTATTGGCTGTTGTAACTCCTGTTAGATTAAAATAATGTTGTCTTCTGTTTGTGGTTTTTTTAAACAGGAGTATGCCAAAATGGTCCAGGTGTTACAGGCATACTGTATCATTTCAGCAGGTGTCCGAGTAAGTTGTACCAATCAGCTTGGACAAGGAAAACGGCAGCCTGTGGTTTGCACTAATGGAGGCTCCAGTGTCAAAGAGAATATTGGCTCTGTGTTCGGGCAGAAGCAGGTAATGGTGGCTATTAAAAACATCTTATTGATATGTTGATATAGTGGCTATGGCAGGTTCATTGTTCTTTCTGATGAGAATAAAATCTAAGAAATGTTTTTTCTTCTTTTTTTCTTTTGTGCTGGTCCTGGAGCTTGAGCTCTTGGTACTACTGCCTTTGAGCTTTATTCACTCAGGCTGGTGCTCTGTCACTTGAGCTTCCACAGCTCTGCTTCTGGCTTTTTGCTGTTTAGTGGGTGGTAAGAATCGCACAGCCTTTTTTACCCTGATCTGGCTCAATCCTCAGATCCTCAATCCTCAGATCTCAGGCTCCTGAATAGCTAAGATTATAGATATGAGCTACCAGCTCCTGACAAGAACTGAATTTTGGCTTTATCAGAAAAGTTAATGTTTAAAAATCTTAAATTTCATTCTTCTACAGACTGGAACATTGCATTCTTCATTCTCTCCCTTACTAAACAAAGTGTCATAGTCAGAATTATTTTATATATATATATAAAACTATACATTTATAATGCATATCACATATAATGTATATTATATATCATACTTATATATATAATATATATATATATTATATATATATAAGTATGATATATAATATACATATATATGTGTATATATATATATATATATATATATATATATATATATATTGTTGTTATTGGTTGTAGGGCTTGAACTCTGGGCCTGGGCACTGTCCCTCAGCTCTTCAGCTCAAGGCTAGTGCTCTACCACTTTAGCCACAGAGCCACTTCCAGTTTTCTGGTGGTTTATTGGAGATAAGAGTCTCATGGATTTTCCTGCCCGGGCTGGCTTTGAGCCGTGATCCTCAGATCTCAGCCATCTGAGTAGCTAGGATTACAGGCGTGAGCCACCAATACCTGGCTTATTATGTATTTTTTACTGTTTGTAGGATTTATTTGTTGTGTCATTTAATATTTTTTTAATTGGCTTATGTTAGTTATGGGGGGGGGGGGGAGGGATACTTTTATCTTTACAGATCCACACATTTACATTGAATTCCAATCAACTTCATCCCCTTTATCACATTCCCTGCCTCTTTTCCCTCCAAAAATACCAAAAGATTTCCTTCTTCCATTTTGTTTTTCTTTTTTTTCTTTCTTTTTTTTTTTCTAGTCCTGGGGCTTAGACTCAGGGCCTAGGTGCTGTCCGTGAGCTTTCTTTTGCTCAAGGCTAGCACTTTACCACTTGAGCCACAACACCACTTCTGTCTTTTAGTGTTTATGTGGTACTGAGGAATTGAACTTAGGGCTCATGCATGCTAGGAAAGCACTCTATCACTAAGCCACATCCCCAGCCCTGCCTTCTTCCATTTTCATTGTTGCAAATCTATTTTGACAATATTCAACCATCTTGATCCTCCTCACTCAGAGTTAATGTTTTTCTTTTTTTTTGGTGCCAGTCCTGGGGTGTGAACTCAGGGCCTGGGCACTGTCCCTGAGCATCTTTCCCTCAAAGCTAGCATTCTGTTATAACCACAGAGCCACTTCCAGCTTTTTCTATTTTATGGTACTGAGGAGTTGAACTCAGGGCTTCATGCATGCCAGGCAAGCACTCTACCACTAAACCACATTCCCAGCTCTCAGAGTTGATTTTTTTTTTTTTTCTGGTTGTAGGGCCTGAACTCTGGGCCTGGGCGCTATTCCTCAGATCTTCAGTTCAAGGCTAACGCTCTACCACTTGAGCCACAGCACCACTTCTGGCTTTTTCTGCTTATGTGGTGCTGAGGATTCAAACCCAGGGCCTCATGCATGCAAGGCAAGCACTCTACCACTGAGCCACCTTCCTAGCCTCTCAGAGTTGATTTTTAATAAAGAGGAGTTCAAGTCTTGGTCATAAAAATTGGTGTCATCGGGCTGGGAAGGTGGCTCAGTGCTTGCCATGCATGCATGAGGCCTTGGGTTCAATTCCTCAGCACCACCTAAGCAGAAAAAGCTGAAGTGACGCTGTGGCTCAAGTGGTAGAGTACTATCCTTTAGCTAAAGAGCTGAGGGACAGTGCCCAGGACCAGAGTTCAGGCCCCACAATCGACAAAAAAATAAATAAAAATTAAAAAAAAAAAAAGTTGGTGTCATCAGGTCTGGGAATGTAGCTTAATGGTAGAGTGCTTGCCTGGCATGCATGAGGCCCTGAGTTCGATTCCTCAGTACCACATAAAAATAATAACATTATATTTAAAAAATTGAATTTCTTTAAAAAATTGGTGTCATCATAGTACTATAAAGTATTTACTAAGATTCTTTTGAGTTTCTTTAGTTTTAAATGGGAGAAGCTTAACTGGGAAAGAAAACTTGGTTTATCATCTTTTCTGAGGTTTGGTGTGTTTGCACTTAAGTAGGAAATAATTGCGACTCTTGTCTTTTTCAGCTGCAAAGCCTCATTCCTTTCATTCAGCTGCCCCCTAGTGACTCTGTCTGTGAAGAGTATGGTCTTAGCTGTTCTGAGGCGCTGCACAATCTGTTTTAGTAAGTAAATCACTGCCAGGAAAACTCCAGCCAATTTTTCCTTCAAGTCTTTTTTTTTTTTTTTGTCAATCTTGGGACTTGAACTCTGGGCCTGGGAATTGTCCCTGAGCTCTTCAACTCAAGGATAGTGCTCTACCACTTGAGCCACAGTGCCACTTCTGATCTTCTGGTGGTTAATCGGAGATAAGGGTCTCAAGGGCTGGGTGCCACTTGAGACTGGGACAGCACCCAGGACCAGAGTTCAAGCTCTAAGACTGACAAAAGAGTCTCACGGACTTTTCCTGCCCGGAATGGCATTGAACCATGATCCTTAGATCTCAGCCTCCTGAGTAGCTAGGATTACAGGTGTGAGACTCCAGTGCCTGGCTTCCTTCAAGTCTTTATTATTTTAAAAGTATATATAATCTAGCCAGGTGCTGGTGGCTCATGCCTATAATCCTAGCTACTAAGAAGGCTGAGATCTTGAGGATCAGGGTTCAAAGCCAGCCCAGGCAGGAAAGTCCATGAGACTCTTATCTCCAATAAACCACCAGAAGACCGGAAGTGGCGCTATGGCTCAAGTGGTAGAGCACTAGCCTTGAGCTGAAGAGCTGAGGGACAGCACCCAGGCCCAGAGTTCAAGCTCCACAACTGACCCCCCCCCCCAAAAAAAAAAAAAAAGTCTGTAATTGTTATTTTGAGGCCTATACCTTTCCTATTCTTTATAAAGCTGTGGGACAATCCTATTACTGAGAGAGATTTAGATAAAAGATTCAGCTACTGTTCAGTTCCATTAACAGTACTCTGGATAATGGCATGTTTCATGTTCCTGCTGCATTCCTAGTTGTTGGGGGTGTTGGAATGGCTTTTGGGGATCTGATGAAGGATGTCCAGTATCTATTTGTAGTACAGGAAGAGTAGACACTTTCAAGTGGCACTGGCCCTGGAAACAGCCATGTTGCTTACTCTTCTACTTGATTTTGCTTGGTGCCTAAATTTCAAAGCTGGAAATCCATTTCTGTCAGTTCAGGAATTGTTCTTATGCAAACTCAGGCATCCCTGAGGAAGAGCTTGTCCCACAGGCATGTAAGTTGGCTGGCTGAGCACATTTTAAAAGGAAAGATTACTGGCATGGTATCACATACATGTAATTCTAGCTCTCTAGAACCCTCCTGGGGATACATAGCAGGACCCTGTCTCAAGAAACAAAAGAATCAAGCGTTGGTGGCTCACACCTGTAACCCTAGCTACTCAGGGGGCTGAGATCTGAGGATCCTGGTTCAAAGCCAGCCTGGGCAAAAAAATCCATGAGAGTCTTATCTCAAATTGACCACCAGAAAACCAGAAGTGGAGCTATGACCTCAAAGTGATGGAGCATTAGCCTTGAGAGGACAATGCCCAGTCCCAGAGTTCAAGCCCCACAACCAGCCAAAATAAAAGAGGATTGGAGATATGGCTCAGCTGGTAGAGCACCAGCCAATGAGCAAAGCATCAGGTACCAAGTTCAAGTCCTTTGTTCTTCCAACAAAAAAGAAAGAAAAGAAAAACAAGGGCTTGGAAGGTGGCTCAGTGGTAGAGTGCTTGCATTGCATGCATGAGGCCCTGGGTTCAATTCCTCAGCACCACATAAGTAGAGGAAAAGCTGGAAGTGACGCTGTGGCTCAAGTGGTAGAGCGCTAGCCTTGAGCTGAAGAGCTGAGAGACAGTGCCCAAGCCCAGAGTTTAGGCCCCACAGCTGGCAAAAAAAAAGAAAAGAAAAACAAGAATACTGCAGATCTGGGATATAAGTGGTTGGTTACATCCCACTGACAAGCCAGTGGAGCCAATGTGCAGGTCAAAGGTTCTGTGTTTGGAACAAGGCCTGATCCTGATGTAGGCACCAAGGAAAGGAGAGCAGAATTGAAGCAGTCATGAGCCAACCACCTTACCTATGCTGGGTTTGGGACTGTTTGCTTCAGAGCGTCTAGGTGCTGTCTGTGATTTGCAGGGTGGAACACAGGTACCAGGACACAAGCAGAATTATTCCCCAGCACTGTCTGGTTTTTATTTGATGGTGAGAAGTTGCTCTATGCTCAGTGTTCTAATTCTTGCTCACATGGTACCACCCCCAGCATCTCCGGCTTCATCTCACGCTGCACGCACGGCGTTGGGAGGAGTGCCACTGACCGGCAATTCTTTTTCATCAATCATCGGCCTTGTGACCCAGCAAAGGTATGTACAGAGCTTTTTGTAGCAGTTTATTGTTAGATCTTTGAGTTTTATTATTTCATAATTTTTTTTCAAGGAATTTAGAACTAAGAAACATGCCTTTGCATTATCTTATTTAAACCAAGCACCATCCTAGCAACTTAGGAGGCTAAGATCTGAATGGAAGTGGTAGAGGGGTAGCCTTGAGCACAGAAGCTCAGGGACAGGGCCCAGGCCTGAGTACAAGCCCTAGGACCAACACCAAATATAGTTTATATATTTAAGAAAGTCAGCTGGCTGGGCACCGGTGGCTCACACCTGTAATCCTAGCTACTCGGGGCTGAGATCTGAGGATCACGGTTCAAAGCCAGCCTGGGCAGGAAACTCTGTGAGACTCTTATCTCCAATAAACCACTAGAAAACTGGAAGTGGTGCCATGGCTCAAGCAGTAAGTGCTTGCCTTGAGCTGAAGAGCGCAGGGACAGCACCCAAGCCCAGAGTTCAAGCCCCACGACCGACAAAAAAAAAAAAAAGAAAATCAGCTGTTTTCAATAGTACATGTATGTATACATATATGTGTAAATACATAAAAATATTTAAAGGTAAGAATGTTTAAATCTATAAGAATACTTAGATTTCTCTTCAGATTGCATAAATGTTGTTTCTTTTGTAGTTATTTTTGCAGGTCCTAGGGCTTGAACTCGGCCTGGGTGCTGTCCCTGAGCCTCTTTGTACTCAAGGTAGCACTCTACCACTTAGCCCATAGCACCATTTCCACCTTTTTCTGAGTAGTTTATTGGAGATAACAGTCTCAGTCTTTTCTGCCCCAGCTGGCCTCAAACCATGATTCTCTAATCTTAGCCTCCTAAGTAAGTAGGATTATAGGCATGAGACACCAGTGCCTGGCTTCAGATTGCACAAATCTTGTAAGCATGTATGAACTACTCAATGTGAGGGAGGTAGATATTTCAAAGCATATGCCTACATCTGTACTTTTTTTTTTTTTTTTTGGGTCTGGTCGTGGGGCCTGAACTCTGGGCCTGGGCGCTGTCCCTAAGCTCTTCAGCTCAAGGCTAGCGCTCTACCACTTGAGCCACAACGCCACTTCCAGCTTTTTTCTTTTTGCTTATGTGGTGCTGAGGAATCAAACCCAGGGCCTCAGGCATGCAAGGCAAGCGCTCTACCACTGAGCCATCTTCCCAGCCCCCTTAGTGGTTCAGTTTTGACTTTGGGCTCTCTAGCATCCTTGTGCCTCAGTAATATTTTCGATTTTCCAATGATACTTTAAAATTCACTATGGTTCAACCTTTTTTTGTCCTGGGGCTCGAACTTAGGGCCTGGGCACTGTCTTTGAGCCTCTCTGTGCTCAAGGCAAGCTTTACCACTTGAGCCACAGCACCACTTCTGGCTTTTTCTGTTTATTTGGTACGGAGGAATTGAATGCAGTGCTTCATGCATGCTAGGCAAGCACTCTACCACTAAGCCACATTCCCAGCCCCAACTTTTTTTTTAACCTATATTATAATCAGTGTCACTTTATAGTTTATCTCTAATGATAATTAATAATCTCATACAATGTCATATAAGTTATGTTCCTTTTTTTTTTTCTTCTGATGCTAGAGTTTGAACTCTAGCATCATTTGCTCGTCTTGCTTGCTCAGCTGGTCCTCTACAACTAGAGACATAACTCAAGCCCAGCCTTGGTTATTTGGAAGATGAAATCTCACAATTTTTTGCCCAGGCTGGCTTTGAACTTCAGTTGTCCAGATGGAAGCCTCTTGATTAGTTATATCACAAGCCTGAACCACTGCCATCAGCTAGAAATATATTTCTAAGTATTTAAATGTGCTTTTTAAACATTAAAATTGCACCTGCATTTTATTAAAAGTTTAGACTGGAAAAAAATGAACTTTGGGGAACATGATTTAAAAAAATACTTCTTTGAGGGACATGAGGAAGCTTCTTTGTTTGTATTGAGACAGGATCTTGCTATGTAGCTGTGGCTGACCTGAAATTTGCTATGTAGCCCAAACTGGCCTTGAATTTGTGACCCTCCTGTCTCTAACTTCTGAGCATTAGTGTTATGGGGTACACCATCAGCCCTGCATAATGAAACTTCTTGTCATTTTTAAATAGATAATTTCATAGGTGAATGTTTGTGTTGGGTGATATAAACATGTGTCAAGACCTACCAGACTACAGTTTATATCAGCACATGTCAATAAAGTGGTAGCAGCAAAGCTTGATAAAAATGCCTTGCTTTGGTGCTAGGTAAGAATAGCATGTTACAGGAGAGAGTGGGAAGGGAACATTTATTCCTTTCTCAGCTTTGTGTTTTGAACAGGTGTCCAGACTTGTGAATGAGATCTACCACATGTATAATCGTCATCAGTATCCATTCGTTGTTCTTAACATTTCAGTTGATTCAGGTAAGAGGCACTGAGAGTTCAAGAACATGGGTGACATTTTCTTGAAAGAACAAAATTATAAGCCCTTATTAGACTGCAAAGAGGATGCTTTTTTGTTTTGTTTTGTTTTTTTTCTTTGTTTTTTGGTCATGGGGCTTGAACTCTGGGCCTGGGCATTGTTCCTGAGCTCTTCAGCTCAAGGAGAGCACTCTACCACTTGAGCCACATCACCACTTCCGGTTTTCTGTGGTTTATGGAAATAATAGTCTCATGGGCTTTCCTGCCTGAACTGGCTTTGACCCACAATCCTAAGATGTCAGCTTCCTGAGTAGCTAGGATTACAGGCATGAGCTACCAGTGCCCGGCTAAGAATTTTTTTTTATTGTTATTATAAAGGTGATGTACAGAGTAGCCACTTTTTTATTTAGCTAAAAAAATACATATATAGTTGCCTGTCTTGCACTGTGTTGTGTGTCTGTGTATGCACACGTATGCTACATCTACTTTGGGTTAAGAAAATAATTTTGATTTTTATTCTTTATCTTTAGATGTCAATATTTTGTTGTTTTTGTTTTTTGTTTTTGCCAGTCCTGGGGCTTGAACTCAGGGCCTGGGCACTGTCCCTGAGCTTCTTTTGCTCAAGGCTAGCACTTTACCATTTGAGCCACAGCACCACTTCAGGCTTTTTCTGTTTATGTGGTACTGAGGAGTTGAGCTCAGGATTTTGTGAATGCTAGGCAAGTACTCTACCACTAAGCCGTATTCCCAGCCCCCATTTTGTTTTTTTAATCATTATAAGTAAGTAAGACGTGATTTTTATAGCTGTATTAAATTCCAATACATGATTATACTTTGACTTTTATTTATATTTTCCAACTTGTTCTAAGCTGCTACTGTACTTTTTTTACCTTTATTTTTTTTTTTTGTCAGTCATGGGACTTGAACTCAGGGCCCAGGTACTGTCCCAGAGCTTGTTGCTCAAGACTAGCACTCTACCACTTTGAGCTACAATGCCACTTCCGGTTTTCTAGTGTTTAATTAGAAATAAGAGTCTCATGGATTTTCTTGCCCACAATCATCTTGAACGGTGATCCTCAGATATCTGCCTCCTGAGTAGCTAGGATTACAGGAATAAGCTGCTAGCATCTGGCTTTCTTGAGTTTTTTTGTTCAGTGCTGGCATACTATCACTTGAACCCCAACTCCACTTTCAGCTTTTTAGTAGTTAATTGGAGATACGAGTGTCATGGACTTTCCCTCTTGGAACCATAATGCTCAGATCTTAACCTTCTGAGTAGCTAGGATAACAGGCATGAGCAGCCAGGCACCCACCTTATGATTCTGTTTTTTTGGTATTTAAGTTTTTTTCAATATTTAGAAATTAAACTATTCTCAACATCTTTTCAGGACTCCTTACAGAAAGTCCCTTGTAGTAGAACAGTGGGGTTAGTTTTCTTCTCTGGATTGCTTTCTAGGCTTAGTGCCCCCATTCACATGGTGTCAGTGCATCATGTTCAAACTAAATCCAGAGTGGATCAAATTGTTGACATTTTACTCTTATTACACATTTGCATATGTTTATTCTTTTTTTCTTTCAAAATTACCAAGTTGAATCTTGCTATATTTTGTCTATTTAAAAAAGGGTTCACTTCCAGGCACTGGTGGCTTACACCTGTAAGCCTAGCTATTCAGGAGGCTGAGATCTAAGGATCATGGTTCAAAGCCAGCCCAGGCAGGAAAGTCCATGAAAATCTTATCTCCAATAAACCACCAGAAAACTGGAAGTGGCACTGTAGCTCAAGTGGTAGAGCACTCATCTTGAGCTGAAGAGCTGAGGACAGCGCTCAGGCCCAGAGTTCAAGCCCCACAACTGACAAAAACAAAAAACAAAAAAAACAGTTCATAACCAGGCACCAGTGGCTCACGCCTGTAATTGTAAAAACTCTTTATCTGTGGATTGCAGTTCAAAGCCTGCATGGGGAGGAAAGTCCATGAGACTCTCTCTCTCTCTCTCTTTTTTTTTTGTCCGTCATGGGGCTTGAACTCTGGGCTTGGTCACTGTCCCTGTGCTCTTCAGTTTAAGGCGAGTACTCTACCACTTGAGCTACAGCACCACTTCCGGTTTTCTAGTAGTTTATTGGAGATAAGAGTATCACGGACTTGGACTTTCCTGCCCGGGCTGGCTTTGAACCATGATCCTCAAATCTCAGCCTCCTGAGTAGCTAGGATTACAGGCCTGAGCCACTGGCGCCTGGCTCTATGAGACTCTTATCTACTGTTAATTGCAGAAAAAGTGGCACTGTGCCTCAGCAGTAAAGCCCTGGCCTTGAGAAAAAAAGCAGCTCAGGGACAGGATGGTACCCAGGCCCAGAGTTTAAGCCCCAGGACTGGCAAAAAATAAAAATAAAAAAGTGTTCATCTTCCATGTGTTTTGGGGAAAAGATGAGTTTTCTGGGTTATACTAGTGTTTTCCGCACGAGCACGCGCGCGCACGTGTGTGTGTGTGTGTGTGTGTGTGTGTGTGTGTGTGTGTGTGTGTGTGTGTGTGTGTGTGTGTGTTTTGTTTGTTTTTTGTTGGTTGTGAGGCTTGAACTCTGGGCCTGGACGCAGTTCCTGAGCTCTTAAGCTTAAGGCTACTGCTCTACAACTTGAGCCATAGCACCACTTCCAGTTTTCTGGTGGTTAATTGGAGATAAGCGTCTCATCAACTTTCCTGCCTGAGTTGGTTTTGAACTGTAATCCTAGACCTCAGCCTCCTAAGTAGCTAGGATTATAGGCGTGAGCCACTGACCCCCGGCTTGATATTAGTGTTTTGAATTGCATTTTTGTTAGAAGGCAGTGAATGAGATGATAGCTAGGTAACTTCTTGTTAAAGATGGATTTGAATGTCACAAGTGTATTGTCTATTTTTGCCTAGAGTGTGTGGATATCAATGTAACTCCAGATAAGAGGCAAATTTTGCTGCAAGAGGAGAAGCTTTTATTGGCTGTGTTAAAGACTTCACTCATAGGAATGTTCGATAGTGATGTGAACAAACTCAGTGTCAACCAACAGGCACTGCTGAGTGTTGAAGGTACGGAACATGCAGTGGTGCAACACCTTTAAAACTTCCATCAGGGGCTGGGAAGGTGGCTCAGTGGTAGAGCACTTGCCTTGCATGCATGAGGCCCTGGGTTCGATTCCTCAGCACCACATAAGCAAAAAGAAAAAAGCCGGAAGTGGCGCTGTGGCTCAAGTGGTAGAGCGCTAGCCTTGAGCTGAAGAGCTGAGGGACAGTGCCCAGGCACAGAGTTCAGGCCCCATGACTGGACCCAAAAAAGAAAAAGAAAGGAAGAAAACTTCCATCAGCTGGGATCAGAGGCATGGCTGTGTTGATAGAGTGCCTGCCAGTGAGCAAAGCATCAGGTACCAAGTTTGAGTCCCAGTCTCAGAACAAAAAGAAAAGAAACGATAAAACTTTGATCAATCCGGGCACCAGTGGCTCATGCCTGTAATCCTAGCTATTCAGAAAGCTAAGATCTGAGGATCATGGTTCAAAGCCAGCCTGGGCAGGAAAGTCTGTGAAACTCTTATCTCCAATAAACCACCAGAAAAACAAAAACAGAAAGTGGCGCTGTAGCTCAAGTGGTAGGGCGCTAGCCTTGAGCTGAAGAGCTGAGGGACAGTGCTCAGGCCGAGAGTTCAAGCCCCGTGACCAACAACAACAACAACAAAAAAACCCACTTTGATCAGCTATTGTTGATATGTCTCTTTTATTTCCAAGGTTACACTTTTGGCATCTCTTAGGATATGTTACAGCTGTTCAGGAGGACAATTGATATTCAAAGCAAAAAAGTCTGTGAGATTTCATCTTCAAAATAACCAGCCAAATGCTGGGCTAGAGTCATGACTCCAGTGGTAGAACACCAGATGAGCAAGCAAACTGAGCAAATGTGAGGCCCTGAGTTCAAATTCTAGTACCAGTAAAAATAGAGAAAAGGGACGAATTTATATGATACTATAATGAGATTATTAAATATCATTAGCGATAAACTGTAAAATGACACTAATTATACAGTGTTTTTTTGTGTTTTTTTTTTTTTTTTTTTTTTTTAAAGTTGAACCACAGTGAATTTTACAGGGTCATTGGAAAATCGAAAATATTATGAAGGGACAATGATGCTAGAGAGCCAAAAGTCAAAACTGAGGCCTGGGCTCTGAAGGGGCAATGGGCTGCCAGGCATGAAAGGGAGCAAAGGAAACTTGGGTTTGTATAGCAGAGTTGTTGGCATCCCGGTTCGTTTTCTGGATGCAGGTACAGGGCACCATGGAGGGCAGTGGGCAGCACACACTTAAGGAGCATGCGTAATGGAGGTGTCTGGGCCACCCTGGAACTGGAAACTTTAACATAACTGCAGTACTTGGGAGGCTGAATCAGGAGGCTCATAAATTCAAGGCCAGACTAGGCTACATAATAAAACCTTGTAAACATGGTAAAACAAGAAAACAAGCACCGTTGAACCAATGCCCATTGTTTAGCTGTAGCTGTATTATTGAAGTGTAGCAACAGGCAGAAACCGTTGTTATATATAAATTATCAGTGTTTCTGCCGTGAGCTGAAGAAATAGCTCCTGCAGAAGTGCCTGGTGTCTGTTTCTCTGCACTAACCCCCAGTGCTAGCCACTTTCCTGACCTCTAGTGGCATAGTTTAGTTTACTTTTTGCTTGGTTTTTGAGACACTCTCATTCTGCAGCCCAGGCTGGCCTTGAACTCATCATCCTCCAGCTTCAACCTCCCAAGTGTTAGAATGATAGTCAGATGCCAACTGGCCTGGCTTCATTTACTTTTGACTTTGAAGTCATTCCATCTGAACTTCCTTGTTATTTGTTATGAGTTTCATGAGGTCATGTGGCTCTTGATTCATTTTTACATCTGTATAGTATTCTACTTAGATATCAAAGGTTCTTTATTGAGGGAAGGGAAATTCTAGGCATCAAACCCAGGGTCTTGCACTTGCTAGGCAAGCTACATTGTGACCCTTGGAGGTTCTTGATGAACTGTGACAGTGCATTTGCCAGGCATTGAGGGGCCTACCAGCTCCAGTTGGAGGCTCCATACCTGGACATGGGTGTACATACACTGTAACTGCCATCCCCTTTTTAAGTTTTATTAACATTTTAAATTGTCCTGATGTTGTGCAAAGGGGTTTCAATTTGCAACCCTTTCATGATCAGCTTTGGATGTTCTTCATTAGTTAATTAATTAATTTTGTGCCAGTACTGGCACAGGACCACAGAGTCCACTCTGTCCCTGAGCTTTTTTCTCTCAAGGCTGGCACTTTACCACTTCTGACTCTTTGCTAATTCATTGGAGATAAGAGTCTCAAGACTTGGCCAGGCACTGGTGGCTCACACCTATAATTCCCGCTACTCAGGAGGCTGAGATCTCAGGATCACAGTTCAAAGCCAACCTGGGCAGGAAAGTCTCTGAGTCTCTTATCCAATAAACCATTAGGAAAACGGGAGTGATGCTGAGGATCAAGCGGTAGAGCGCTTGCCTTGAGCTGAAGAGCACAGGGAAAGTGCCCAAGCCCCATGACCAACAAAAAAATAAAAGTCTCAAGACTTTCCTGTACAGGCTGGCTTAGAGCTGCAATCCTCAAATCACAGCCTTCTGAGTAGCTGAGGTTACAGGCATGAGCCACCAGCGATCAGCTGGTGTTTGCATATTTGATCAGATGTTTGCGCTTCCTCCTTTGTGAATGCAGAACTGTTCTTTTGTCCTGCTTTGTACTCTCCCTGATCATCTCTGCTCCTGTGGGCCCAGGTAACTTGATAAAGATGCGTGGGACGGAAGCAGAAACACCTCTGCCAGACAGTCCTCCTTCGTCTAGCACTCAGGAAGAAGACAAAAGGTCCGTGTCCATTTCCAGGCTGAGAGAGGCCTTTTCTCTTCGTCATCCTGCAGAGACCAAATCTCCAGGCCCAAGGACTCCTGAACTGAGATGGAATTCTCCAGTACAGAAAAAGAGGGTACCCTCTAGTGCCTCCAATCCTGCCTCTGGCAGAAGCCTGCAGGGCCCTCTGGAAGAGGTGGTGACTCACAAGGACTCAGATGGCCGTGGGGACAGAGTGGAAGTGGAGAAAGACTCGGGGTACACCAGTACATCAGCTGCCCCAGAGGAAGGGTTCAGCCCCCCGGAAGTGGGCAGTAGCAGTAGCGACCATGCAGAGAGCTCCCCAGAAGACAGATTTTCACAAGGAGACATGGACTCTGGTGAGAATCTACCTGAACTGGACCAACCCCCTTCAGCTGGGGAGTCAGAGAAGGAAAAAGATGGCCCCTGTCAACTTCTGCCTCCTCAGACACATCTCTCCTCCTCCAGTGCTAAGCGATTTAAAAAAGAAATTCCCTCAAATACCAACACTCCCCCAAAGTCAGCTACCACTGAGAACGCCTCAGCAGCCCAAGTGGATGTGGCTGTGACAATTAGTAAGAAAATAGTGCTCCTTGCCTTTTCTATGAGCTCTTTAGCTACACGAATAAAGCAGTTGAATTGCCAAAGACAACAAAGGGAAGGCAAACCGAATTACAGGAAATTCAGGGCAAGGATCTGTCCAGGAGAAAACCAAGCAGCAGAAGATGAACTAAGAAAAGAGATAAGGTAAGGTGTGTTGTCAGTGGGATTTTGGACAGCCCATGCTCTGGTCGTTTTGAGGGAACCAGGGGCTCATGACAGCGACCCAGCCCTGGCTCCTCTGTGTACCTCCGCTTCTCTTTGTCCTTGCTCTACACAGAGAGCAGCTTCTGTGGCCGCCCACCACTCCCCCCCCAGGAGTGACAGGGTATGACTGCTGGCTTGCTGCCTGTTGAAAGGGCCTGTGTAGGCAGGGAATTCTCCCTTTTTTCCTCATTACTGACTCCTTGAAATCCTAACATTAGAGTTGCTGTCAACTCCACAGATTGGACCTTAGCTTTGCTGGACTATGCTTGGCTATTCTTTTATCCATAACATTTCTTTCTCCACTTAACCACCAAAAAGCCAGAAGTGGAGGTGTGGCTCAAGTGATAGAGTGTTAGCCTTGAGCAAAAAGGCTCAGGGACAGTGCTTAGGCCCTGAGTTCAAGCCCCAGGACTGGCACCAACAAAAGTAGGGGAAGACCAAGAGGAGAAAGCCAGGTAAGGACAGACATTGTCTCTTCTGCTTCCCAAGAGACGCTGTGAGTCCCCCCAAAAATAGTTCCTTCCTTGTGTCATTCACATACTGACTTAATGTTGGAGGGTGCGCAAACCCTTACAGATTCCTTTCCAAAAACAACCCAAAAACTGGGTACAATAGACCCTTGTGTGTGCAGTGGGGCTGCTGTTGAGGCAAGCCAGAGGGTCTGGAAGCCTTCTGTTGGAAAGTTACACTTAGATGTGCCTTATAGGAGTCAGTGCATGTATCTACCACTCACCACATGTGCGTGTGGAGCAGGTTGCATAGCGGTTCCAACTACACTGCTCATAAGCACTCAGTCTCTTTTCATACTCTATCATGAATACTGTAGATGTTTGATACATTTTTTCCCACAGTGCTGCCCAACCTCCTCAAATGACCTATCAGCAAAGCAGAAATGTGTTTTAGGTTTTAACATTTAAGTTTTGTTCTAAATCTCAATGGTCACATGTCGCATTGAATGTTTTCTGTGTGCAGTAAGTCAATGTTTGCAGACATGGAGGTGCTTGGTCAGTTTAACTTGGGGTTCATAATAACCAAGCTGAAGGAGGACATCTTCCTGGTGGACCAGCATGCAGCTGATGAGAAGTACAACTTCGAGATGCTGCAGCGTCACACAGTACTCCAAGCACAGAGGCTCATTGTGTGAGTGCATCAGTAAACACTGTGTGTGCGTGTGCATGCACACGTGTACATACATGTGCATGCACGTATGCATGTACATATGATTACAAGGAGAGGTCATGGGTTTACTTTGGGGAAATTAAACTCTGTAGAGAAACGAACTCAGACCCCAACAGAATAGAGTGGAGTGAATCTTTGTGTGTGGCTCCAGGAAATCACAGGAACTCTGGAGACCTCAGGCAATCATCTCTGGCAGGAACATAAGCCCCTTTCCAACCTTCCCAATCTTATTAACCCCAGCTCATCTCCAGAGCTTAGCCTCTGGTCACTACCCCAGAGGTCCCTTCTCTGACTCCAGGGAAGTCTCACTGTATGCTCTTACAGCACTGGCATCTTCCACCCTGACTCAGTTTTGGTCATAACTGATTGTTTGCCTCTTTTTTTTTTGAGTCCAGTCGTGGGCCTGAACTCTGGGCCTGGGCACTGTCCCTCAGCTCTTCAGCTCAAGGCTAGTGCTCTACCACTTGAGCCACAGCGCCACTTCCGGCTTTTTTCTTTTTGCTTATGTGGTGCTGAGGAATCGAACCCAGGGCCTTAAGCATGCAAGGCAAGCGCTCTACCACTGAGCCACCTTCCCAGCCCATTGTTTGCCTCTTTGTTCAATGTTTACTTCCCCACTAACAGAAGACAGAAGTCAAGGCTGTGTTTGCTCCCTCTCCTGCCCTTAGCAATGTTTGTCTTCCTAAGATCCCCACAAATTTAGTAGGAGAAAGGGAAGCATACAGCAGAGGAAGAGCGGGATAGCAAAATTCTTGTTCTGTATTTACTGTGTACAAATATGGGTAATGACTGGACCCAGCCATTTAAATTACTAGCCAGGCATGATTGCGTATGCCTGTAATCCTAGCATTTAGGAGGATCTTGAATTACAGACCTCGCTAGGGTATTTATGAGGTCTTATGTCCAAAAGAAAAAAAAAATCAAATTATCTTTCTTGTGAAGATGGGATAGTAGGGATGTGAAGTAGGGATAGTGAGAATGGGATAGTAGGTTGAGAAGAAAGGAAGCTTCATAACTTCTCTAACTTCTAAAAACTAATTTGGCTAGGCACTGGTGGTTCATGCCTATAGTCCTAGCTATTCAGGAAGCTAAGATCTGAGGATCACAGTTCAGAGCCAGCCCAGGCAGGAAAGTCCAATGAAATGCTTATCTCCAATTAACCACTAGAAAACTAGAAGTGGCACTGTGGCTTAAAGTGGGTAGAGCACTAGCCTTGAGCCGAATAGCTCAGGGACAGCGCCCAGGTCCAGAGTTCAAGCCCACAACTGAACAAAAACAAAAAAGTAATTTGTAAGAGGAACTAGAAAGAACTCTGCAGGAAGATTTGTGACACTTGGCTAAATAGTGTTCTTTGTATATGTGTGCTGGTCCTGAGATTTGAACTCAGAGCCTAGGTGCTAGCATTGAACTTTTGTGCTCAAGGCAAGTGCTGTACCACTTGAGTCACAGCTCCACTCCTGGCTTTTTGGTGTTTCATTGGAGAAAAGAGCTTCACCGACTTCCCTGCCCAGGCTGGCTTTGAACCACAATCCTTGGATCTCAACCTTCTGAGTAGCTAGGATTACACGTATGAACCAACAGCACCCAGCTCAAATAGTATTCTTCATATTTCTTTCAATGAGTTTAAGATTGTATTAGTCAGTTTTTTGTAGTTATGACAAAGTACCTGAGAAAAAGAACCTAAAGGAAGGTAGACTGTTTGGGGTCATGGTTTCAGGTTCAGCTTGCTCTAGTACGGTGAGCCTGTGATGAGGCAGGGTGGCAGGGCAGAGAGGATGTTGGAGCAGAGCTGCTTACCTCATGGCAGCCAGGAAGCAGAGAGACAGGAGTCCAGGGAAAAGATACACCCTTTAAAGGCACAGCTCCCTGGGGCCTGTTGTCACCAGCCAGTCCTCCCCTTTCCTCCCCCCTCCCACCCCCAGTCCCCTCAGAGCTAGGACAGCAGTGAAGGAACCCACTGGTGAACTTAGCGCTGGCCTCTCTCCGTAGCGCTACTAGCCGGGGACCAGGCCATCCGCCACTGGGCCTTTTAAGGCACGCTTCATATCAAACCATAACAATGATCACTCTTGTCTGACCTCCATTTTGATTCTATAAATAAATGTTCGGCTCCAGTTTGTCATTTGAACCTCCTGTGTTTCCAGACCTCAGGCTCTCAACTTAACTGCTGTCAATGAAGCTATCCTGATAGAAAATCTGGAAATATTCAGAAAGAATGGCTTTGACTTTGTCATTGATGAAGATGGTAAGTTATTCAGTTAGGAGCTGGGAATGACCTTTGAGGTCAGCTGGATTGATCTGTTTTCATAAGAGCACAGGTTCTTTGGGGCTTGAACTCTGGGCCTGAGTGCTGTCCCTGCACTCTTCAGCTCAAGGCTAGCGCTCTACCACTTGAGCTATAGCGCCACTTCTGGTTTTCTGGTGGTTTATTGGAAATAAGAGTTTCACAGGGGCTGGGAAGGTGGCTCAGTGGTAGAGCACTTGCCTTGCATGCATGAGGCCCTGGGTTCGATTCCTCAAGCACCACATAAGCAAAAAGAAAAAAGCCGAAAGTGGCGCTGTGGCTCAAGTAGTAGAGGGCTAGCCTTGAGCTGAAGAGCTGAGGGACAGTGCCCAGGCCCAGAGTTCAGGCCCCACGACCGGACCCACCCCCGCCCCCCCAAAAAAAACAAAAAAAAACACCGAAAAGAGTTTCACAGACTTTCCTGCCCGGGCTGGCTTTGAACCGTGATCCTCAGATCTCAGCCTCCTGAGTAGCTAGGATTACAGGCGTGAGCCACCAGCGCACGGCAAGAGCACAGATTCTTGTAAGTAGTGCTGAGAGGGAATCACACTTCTCAAATAAAAGTGTGTTCTTACACTTTTTCCTTGTAGCTCCAGTCACTGAAAGAGCTAAACTGATTTCCTTGCCAACTAGTAAGAACTGGACTTTTGGACCCCAAGATATAGATGAGCTCATCTTCATGCTGAGTGAGAGCCCGGGGGTCATGTGCCGGCCCTCCCGAGTCAGGCAGATGTTTGCCTCGAGAGCCTGTCGGAAATCTGTAAGTAAAGCAGGCCACCCACTCTGCTCATGCTGGGGGTCTGGGGAGAGGTAGTGGAGCCCCTGACTTGAGCCACAATAGCCCATGTCGGTGCTCCATGCTTGCCAGCAAATCCGAACCCTTTCTCCTTATGCCTCCTACCCACAGACCCATCACAGGTGGAGACGTAAGCTCCTTAACACAGAGGTAGACCCTGAGGGTACAAGGATCGGGGTACCAGTGTGTCTGGGTGGAGAGATACTGGCATGTAGCCCGGTGAGGGCACACATCAGGCGAGGATGGAGGCTTGTGTTCAGGCAGGAGGGAGGAGGGCTAACAAAGAGTGGCTTGATTGACCTCTACAAAGGATCTCTGGTGGCCAAGGGGAGAGGAGAGAGGCCAGGGAACTTTGAAATTGTGGGAGTTACTCAGAGCATTGCGATTCTGGTCTCGAGCAAGCTACAGAGCCCAGGAGCCCATGGAAATGCAGAGCACCGAACAGACGAGCTCTGATCTTGTCCAGTCTCACCATGGAGAACATGGTTGTAGCACCACAGTACTGGGTTAAACTTCCCCCATTGTGTCTCATACTCAGGTGATGATTGGAACAGCTCTTAACACCAGCGAGATGAAGAAGGTCATCGCCCACATGGGCGAGATGGACCACCCCTGGAACTGCCCCCACGGAAGGCCGACCATGAGGCACATTGCTAATCTGGATGTCATTTCTCAAAGCTGATCCTCCTCACATCCTAAATGAAGTTTTTCATGCAGTTCTTCCTGTTTTGAAAGGCAAAGCTTTGTCGTCATTATTGCATCAAACCTAACCTGCTACTTACTTAAGAATAGTGTGCTAGATGCATTTGCATTTTTAAATTATCTTAGGTTGGGCATGGAGGTCCATGCCTGTAGTCCCAGCTTCTCATGCTGAGCCTGGAAGATTGCTTCAGCTCCAGAATCAGAGACCAGCCTTAGCAACATAGTGGAATCCATCTTGGAAAAAAGAAAAAGATCCTATTCAACATTGTGAACTGCATCTTTTCAGCATTTGAATTTTGTGTACAAGCTAGAACATATTTTATATCCAGAAGAGGGCTGAGAGCGTGGCACAAGTGGTAGAATGCCTGTCTACCTAAGTTCAAGCCCAGCACCACCAGAGGGGAAAAAAAAACAAAAAACAAGCACTTTGGATGTTACCCAGGCTTCTGTTCTGCCTGGAGATATTTTCGCTTGCAACTTTCAGCCGTAAATAATAAAATATTACATTGGCCTAATTTAGTAAACTTTAAACTTAAAATTAAGGTACCTTTTGAGTTTGTGCTTCTCAAATAATGCATCACAGTAAGTGGCTCCCACCTGTAATCCCAGGTGTGCAAAAGGCTGAGATCAGGAGAATGAAGGATTTAAGGCCATCCCTTGGCAAGAGAAAGGAAGACTCGGAAAAATAATCACAGCAAGCGAGGCTGGAGGTGTAATTCAAGTGGTAGAGAACCTCCGTAACAGCCTGACGCCAGTGGCTTATGCCTGTAATTCTAGCTACTCAGGAGGCTGTGATCTGAGGATCATGGTTCAAAGCCAGCCTGGGCAGGAAAGTCCATGAGATTCTCCAATAAACTACTCAGAAAACCGGAAGTGGCTCAAGTGGTAGAGCACTCGCCTTGAGGTGAAGAGCTGAGGGATAGTGCACAGGCCCAGAGTTCAAGCCCCATGAGTGACAAAAAAGAGAGAGAAAGCCTCCGTAACCAAGTACAAGGCTCTGAGTTCAAGCTCTAGTACTGAGAAACAGAACAAAAAATGCAAATGCAGAAATAGTCCACCACCTTTTGCTGGCTGGAAGGCAGTGACTGGGTGGGGGGGCTGGGGTTGAGGTTTTATGTCCCCAGTGCCACCCAGTTGGCAGGCGCTGTTCTTAGCAGGTGTAAAAAGAAGACTTGTAATCTTTGTGTAACTCAGGGCCCGAGGTTTGGTTCCTGAAGGCATTTGTAAATGGAGCTCTCCCAAAAATGGAGGCTGTCCTCCCTAGAATCCAGACGGTGGTGATGACCTGCTAGGCCTCCCAGACAGCCCGAGAGAGGCCACTATCCTGCGTTGGAACCCGCGTGCTAGTGTGTGTGCCAGTGTGGTTGAATCACATGATCTACAAGTTGGGAATTGTAGGCGCAGTAATTCACACCCCTCCCACATCCCTGTCACCTTGTATGCAGATGGGGTTAAAGATCTTCCCATGAGGACGTATCCTGAACTGGCTTCCAAGTGGGGTCCCCCCTCCCCAAGTGCAGCATGACAATATTGCTCAGGTTGATGGTGGAGGAAGAGCCACCAGGCAAGGGGTGGCACAGACAGTTTCTAGAAACTGGAGCCCCACAAAGGAACTAAGCCTGTTGGGCTAATTTACAGGACTGTAAGGTAATAAATTTGTGTTGCTTTTAGTGACTAAGTTTGTGGTGATTTATTTAAGTTAGGGGTGGGGGGGTTGTGGGACTTGAACTCGGCCTGGGTGCTGTCCCTGGGCTCCTTTGCTCAAGGCTAGTGCTCTGCCACTTTGCGCCACGGCTCAAAGTGGTGGTTTATTGGAGATAAGAGTCTCACAAACTTTCCTGCCTCGGCTGACTTTGAACAGCAATCCTTAGATCTCAGCCTCCTGAGTAGCTAGGATTATGGTCATGAGCCATTAGCACCTGGCTGAGATGATTTATTTAACACCACTGCCTGAATCCTTCCTGTTTTATGTGCACAAATCAGGCTGCAAGAGGCAGTTAGTGGGTACAAAGACCTCTCTGCTGTCAAGACAAAGTCTAGGCCTCTGCCTTTTCCTCCTCGCCTGCAAGACCAGCAAGGGCAGAATGGGATACTTGGCTGCTTTGCCTGAGTATGTCATTGCCCCTTTAAGGACTGGCAGGGTAGGCAAGGGACAGAGCTTGTGTCTGGTTGCCTGGAGACACCTGCTTCCGTTTACCGGATGCCCTGTGCTAGTGGTGTTGTAGCACTTGGCAGAGTGGGAGCCGCCAGGTACCCCGTGCTGGTGCTTTGTGCATCTAGAACCTATGCAGGTGCACCATGGGTGAGAGGGATCCTGAGAAACAGGAAAAAAAAATAGGGCTCACTGGGGAACAAAATTTCCTTTATTTGTGGTTTGATTTATATTGCTAGAGGAGGACTAGATCTCCCTGTGTGTAGAAGAGGAGAGCCAGCTGGGTTCCAGGAAGAGCAGTGGGGGACTTGGGAGGTGGGGTTGAGCCGGCAACTGGGGTATGGAGAGGATGCCTCCAGGAAGAGGCAGAGGAGGTGCCTGCCTGGAGCAGGGCCTAAGATGTGGGGGCAGGGCAGCTTGGAGAGGGTGGGGTGGAGTGGGTATGGAAACCATGGATTTGGAACAACACCACCCCTCTGCTCTCAAAGCAAGCATTCTTTTGTTGTTGGTCATGGGGCCTGAACTCTGGGCCTGGGTGCTGTCCCTCAGCTCTTCAGCTGTAGACTAGCCCTCTACCACTTGAGCCTCAACCCCACTTTCTGTTTTTATGCTTATGTGGTGCTGAGGAATGCTTGCCTCATGCATGCAAGGCAAACACTCTACCACTGAGCCACCTTCCCAGCCCCACAAAGCAAGCATTCTTTAGTACTATAAGCATCCAATACTATGTGGGTGTTTTCTGCACATCTTGTCAGGAGTAGTAGTGTAGTTCTCCTATGGGATATCCAAGGCTGATAGACATTAGGCAACACGCTCAAGGATGCAGGGCTGCTGGTGATCCATTCTAATGCCCTCTTATTTGGAGAAGGGCTTGGAGTTGATGGCATGCAAGATCTTGGCAGTCATGCCCCCATTTTCATGAAAAGATCACCGTAGGACAGCAGATGTAAAATTATTTATGATTCCAACACAATGACCACAACAGCTTATGATTGTAATATTATAACCTGATGACATGCGATACTTATAGTTCTTTCTAAGCCTTCATAGACAAATAGTGTTTTGTAAGGCTAAATTGGTACAAGTGACACTTCCAAATATTTAGAGAGATATTTGTGTGTGTGTATGTGTGTGTGTTTTTCAGATAAACCCATCCATGCTTTGAAACCAACAACCGCAGAGCCACGCAACCCATCATCAGATATTTGTACTATATAAAGTAAAATCATAGGTCTCCCCAAGGCGATGGAGAAAGAAAAGAAAAAAGGAGACAAAAAAGGAGATAAGTCAACCTGTTCTCCCTCCTCTCTCTCTGATTATCCAGACTTTTCCAAGCAAGATGGCAGTGCTATTAGGCAAGAGCTGCCCTCAGCAGGTGCCAGCCTGCCTTTGGAAGTGCCATCCACCCAACCAGTCCCCAAAAGAGAATCGGAAAGTATTCCTGATACTGAAGATGCCACTCAGTTCGAAGAGCCTGTTCTAACCAAGCTCATAGTGGAAAGGTGACTCATGAAGGGGCTGGGGGAAAGGAAGGGTCAGACTGCAAATCAGGTGTGTGCTGGTCCTGGGGCTTGAACTCAGGGCCTGGGCACTGCCCCTAAGCTTTTTTGCTCAAAGCTGGCTCTCTACCATTTGAGCCACAGCTCCACTTCCATTTTTTTTTTTTTTTTTTTTTTTTTTGGTGGTTAATTGGAGATAAAAGTCTCATGGACTTTGCTGCCTGAACTGGCTTGGAACCGTGATCCTCAGATCTCAGCCTCCTGAGTAGCTAGGATTACAGACAAAAGCCATCAGTGCCTACCCTCTTGCGGTTTTATGATCACCTTTGGAAATGACTCATCTTTCTAGCTGGGTCTGTACAATGCTTCTGGCTTTGTCCCCTTGAGGACTCTGGGACTTGCATCTTGCAGACTCCCTCTCCCGACAACTTTGGTTTTATCTTCTTCCTCTTCCTCCTCTTCCTCCTTCAGCTTGCGATCTTTCTGCCTCCAACTTCCAAGTGTGCCACCACACCTGGCACTCTCCTTCTATTGTAACTTTAGCTTCCATCTTGCTAGATGATGGTTTTTAAAAAAAAGTTGGGCTCAGTGGTAGAGTGCTTGCCTTGCGTGCATGAGGCCCTCAGTTCGATTCCTCAGTGCCACATAAAAAAAAAAAACTAGAAGTGGTGCTGTGGCTCAAGTGGTAGAGCGCTGGCCCAGGCCCAGAGTTCAGGCCTCATGTCTGACAAAAAGATAAATAAAATTTTTAGAAAAAATTAAAAAGTCTGTTTTATTTGGCATTGTTCGCTTAGAACAGTTGGGTGTGTGTGTGTGTGTGTGTGTGTGTGTGTGTGTGTGTGTGATTTGTTATTTGTGCCAGTACTAGGGCTTAAATTGGGGCCTAGCACTGCCCCTGAGTTTTGTGCTCAAGGCTAGCACTCTACCACTTGAGCCACGGCTCCACTTCCAGCATTTTGTGGTTAATTGAAGATAAGAGTCTCTCCAACTTTTTCTGCCTGGACTGACTGAACTGCAATCCTCAGATCTCAAGCTCCTGAGTAGCTAGGATTACAGGTGTGAGCCACCGGTGCCCGGCTCATATTTATATTTTCAACTCCTTACTGGACATTAACAGATCAGATCTAAGCTTCCTGAATAGTTAGAATTATAACTGCCCAGCAGAGTCTCCACTTTTTGCCCAGCTCTAGCCTTAGACAATGATCTTCCTTCCTCTGCCTCCCACCTAGCTGGGGATTAAAGATGTACACTACCACAAATGGCTTGTTTTTTGAGATTGTGTCTTTAAGCTTTTGCCTTGGTTGGCCTTGAACTGTGATCCCCGTCTCTACTCCCTGTATAACTAAGAGTACAGACAGGCACCATGATGCCTGGTCCTATTTTCTAACTGTATATGTCAATCCTCTGTCACTTAGGCTTATTTACAGCACTCATTAGTTTGGATGTTCTTTGTAGGTACAAAGGGAAGAAGATCCGAGGGCTGTATGAGGGAGAAGGCTTTGCCGAGTTTCAAGGTGGCGCCACCTACCGTGTAAGTTGTGTGCCAAAATCTGCAGAGCCAGGCCCTAGGCTCGAGTTTTAGACTTGCAAGGCTTCAGGAAGTCCATTGATTCTTCAAAAGGAACTGGAAGTACTTCATACTGAGTTTATAGTTTACAAACTGCTTACATATTTAAGGTGAAAATGTGGCTAAAGTCATTTTAGACTACTATTGCCACCCCCTCCCATTTTTCTTTGTTGTCCCAACTGCAGGGCCATTACTAAAGTGAAAACAGTCATTCCTCATTGTGAGAGATTTGTTTCGGGACGCCTATAAAATACCAAAACTTTCAGACATGCAGGTACCCTTTATAAAATAAATTTGATGGGGGACTGGAAGGTGGTTCAGTGGTAGAGTGCTTGCCATGCATGCATGAGGCCATAGGTTCGGTTCCTCAGCACTACATAAACAGAAAAAGCCAGAAGTGGTGCTGTGGCTCAAGTGGTAGAGTGCTAGCCTTGAACTGAAGAGCTGAGGGTCAGCATCCAGGCCCAGGGTTCAAGTCCCACAACAGACAAAATAATAATAATAACAATAATAATAATATAATTTGGTGAGTCAGATCCTGGAGGCTCATGCCTATAATCTGATCTACTCAGGAAACTGAGTCCTGGAGGATCATGGTTCAAAGCCGAAAGGGATAGAAAAGCCTGTGAGAGTCTAATTCCAGTTGAGGAGGAAAATGCAGGACTGGGAGTGTGGCTCAAGTGGTAGAGCATCAGCTGTGAGCAAGAAAAATAGCAAAGTGAGAGTGAGAGCCCTGAACTCAAATGCCATCACCAGCATAAAATTTTAAAAAATAGCTGGTGGCTCATGGCTTAGTAATCCTTGCTACTCAGGAAGTTGAGATTGGAAGATGGTGGTTCAAAGCCAGCCCAGGCAAGAAAGTACATGAGATTCCTACCTCCAATAAACTACTCAGAAAACGCCAGAGGTGGCGCTGTGGCTTCAGTGGTAGAGCTAGCCTAGACCAAAAGAAGCTTAAAGACAATGCCCAGTCTCAGTGTGTCATCAACTTGCATGCCTGGTCTTCTTGCTTTATTTCTTTTTTTTTTTTTTGGGTCCGGTCGTAGGGACTGAACTCTGGGCCTGGGCACTGTCCCCAGCTCTTCAGCTCAAGGCTAGCGCTCTACCACTTGAGCCACAGTGCCACTTCCGGCTTTTTTTTCTGCTTATGTGGTGCTGAGGAATCGAACCCAGGGCCTCAGGCATGCAAGGCAAGCGCTCTACCACTGAGCCACCTTCCTAGCCCCTTGCTTTATTTCTTAAATTCATAGATCAGTGTGTGTGTGTGTGTGCTTGTGTGTGTGTGTGTGTGTGTGTGTATACTGGTCCTGGTACTTGAACTCAGGGCCTAAGCACTGTCCCTCAGTGTATGTGCTCAAGGCTAGTGCTCTGCCACTTGAGCCATAGCCCCACTTCTGAATTTTGTTGTTTAATTGGAAACAAGAGTCTCACTCACAGACTCTCCAGCCTGGGCTGGGCTTCAAACAATGTTCCTCAGATCTCAGCCTCCTGAGTAGTTACAGGCATGAGTCACCAGCACCTAGCTTATAGGCCAATATTTTTACATGAGCATGTTAATTTCCTAGGAAACAATTTGGATATTTCCATTTATTTTACTTGTAAGTCTTTATATTGCTTCCACAGGAGAGGAAGCTGCAGACTGCGTGATGTTTGTGGACCCCTCTTTGGATCCCACTGCGATCGGGACAGGCCGCTGTTCAGTGGCTCTCAGAGGCAGGCCTCTTACTGGGGCAGGTGACAGACAAGGTGACAAGGTGACTGGGCCTGCTCTGAGATTGAGTCTTGAGCCACTGCAGGGCTAAAAATCTGTCACTTCAGCTAGTCTCATGCCTGTCATCCCAACTACTCAGGAGGCTAACATCTGAGGATTGTGGTTCAAAACCAACCCAGGCAGAAAAGTCCCTGCAGGGGCTGGGAAGGTGGCTCAGTGGTAGAGCGCTTGCCTTGCATGCATGAGGCCCTGGGTTCGATTCCTCAGCACCACATAAGCAAAAAAAAAGCCGGAAGTGGCGCTGTGGCTCAAGTGGTAGAGCGCTAGCCTTGAGCTGAAGAGCTGAGGGACAGCGCCCAGGCCCAGAGTTCAGGCCCCACGACTGGACCCAAAAAAAAAAAAAAAAAAGAAAGTCCCTGCAATTCTTATCTCCAATTAACCACCAAAAAGCTGAAGGTGGAGGTATAAGCTCAAGAGGTAAAACATCAGCCTTGAGCATAAAAGCTAAGAAATAGTGCGTAGGCCCTGAGTTCAAGCCCTAGTACCAAAACACAAACACAATGTCTGTCCCTTTGTTCTAAGAGTTTGCTGTTGTTTTGTTTTGAAGGGAATGTTTTCAGAAGGCCTCATGCATGGCCCAGGGACTTACATTTGGGCCGATGGAGTGAAGTATGAGGTAAAGCATAGAAAGAATTCTAGTTCTAAACAGGAAATGTGGCATTTATTATTATTATTATTATTATTACTTTGCTGTTGTTGGTGGTGGTGGTGATTATGGGGCTTGAACTCAGTGCCTGGACACTGTCCCTGAGCTTTTTTCGCTCAAGGCTAGTGCCACGGCTCCAGTTTTCTGGTGGTTAACTGAAGATAAGAATCTCACAGACTTTCCTGCCTTGGTTGGCTTCAAACCATGATCGTCAGATCTCAGGCTCCTGAGGAGCTAGGATTACAGGCGTGAGCCACCAGGTATGAGCCCCGCTCATAAATGTGAACTGTAATGGTCAGGCTCTCACTGCTAGACATACTATTTGCACAAGCCGGTGCCAGTGGCTCACACCTGTAATCCTAGCTACTCAGGGGGCTGAGACCTGAGAATGACAGTTCAAAGCCAGCCTAGGAAAGTTCATGAGATGTCTATCTCCAATTCGCCACCAAAAATCCAGAAGTGGAGCTGTGGCTCAAGTGGTAGAGTGCTAACCTTGAGCAAAAAAGCTCAGAGATAGCACCCAGGCTCTGAGTTCAAGCCCCAGGACTGGCACAAAGCAACAACAAAAACAGAGGTGTCCTCAGGCAGGTGGAGGCAGTGACCAGATAACTCTTTCCTCTGCCAACTGGCAGTCAGCTCAGATTCCTGGAATCTGTGGTAGAGCACACACTTGGTATGTGTGTGGCCCTGGGTTCAATCCCCCATGAGGATGAGTGTATGTACACACAGACACACACACACACACACACACACACTCCAGTGGAAGAGAGTCCATGGGGACCCTGGCCATGTCATCGGCCCAGAGCCGATCTCTAGAAAGCACCTGTGAGGTGGCTTACAGCCACCATGTCTGCAGAACATGGCGATGATGCCCACAGGGAAAAAAGGGTTCCATGACATGTGTGTGTATGTGTGGGGTCACACTGTGGCTGGTCCTGCATACCTGCAAGAGGGTATAGCCATCGTCCTGGCCTCCCAAGGCAGGGGTTGGCAGCCACAGCTTTGGTAGCACCTGCTTGCTTATTTGGGCCTTTGAGTGCACACAACTTCCTGACACTTTGATCAGCCGGTGGAAGGATTGGGAGAAAGGAAGAAAGGAAAGACAGAGGAAGGAAGGGAGGGAGGGAAGGGCTTGTCCAGCTGCCTCACTGATGGCTGCCCTTCCTCAGGGGGACTTTGTGAAAAACATCCCAATGAACCATGGCACGTATACGTGGCTGGATGGCAGCACATATGAAGGCGAGGTGATCAACGGCATCAGGAATGGATTCGGCATCTTCAAGTTCAGCAAGAAGCCTGTGTCCTACATGGGCTACTGGTGTGACGGCAAGAAGCATGGCAAGGTACATGAGGAGCGTGGGGGTGGGGGGCCGGGGGCGTAGAGCCCGACAGCACACACATGGCAAGCAGGAAGACAGAACACACAAACATGGCGGGCACCAAGTACCAGGGAATATTTGCACACGCACACGCACACACAGAGCTGTACAATTGATTAATGTCGTTAGCAGTGCTGGGGACTTGAACTCAGGGCCTTATACATAAACTGGGAAGCACTGTATACTTGAGCCAATCACCTTACCCCTTTAGGCTCTAGTGAAAGATTTTTTGCAGGGCTGAGATTGAACCCAAGGCCTTACACACAAGCTAGGCAAGCATCCTACTACGGAGCCTATTTCCTAGATCCAGTTGCTTTAGTTTGTTTGCCACAGGGTCTCTTGCTTTTGCCTAAGCTGACCTTGGATCCTCCTGCCTCAGCCTCCCAAAGGCTGGTATGATCGGTGTGATAAAATTATGTTTAAAGCATATGACTGTGTAGTATTAAGTCCATGCATGCTGTCATACAAGTATCACCTCGCTCTGATTCCTTGTCAGCACCTTATTTAAGACCCTACTCTCAGTAGGCAGTTCCTTTCTACCCCTTCTTCTCCATGTTGCTCTCTGCCTTCATCTACATGAATCCTATGTTATGAGACCTTATTCTGGTTGCTTTCACTTTGCACCATGTTTTTTGAGGTTCATTTGTGTTTTACCATGAATCAGTACTCCATTCCTTTTTTTTTTGTTTGTTTGTTTGTTTTTTGGGTCCGGTTGTGGGGCCTGAACTCTGGGCCTGGGCGCTGTCCCTCAGCTCTTCACTCAAGGCTAGTGCTCTACCACCTGAGCCACAGCGCCACTTCCGGCTTTTTTCTTTTTTGCTTATGTGGTGCTGGGGAATCAAACCCAGGGCCTCAAGCATGCAAGGCAAGCGCTCTACCACTGAGCCACCTTCCCAGCCCCCTCCATTCCTTTTTATAGCCAAGTACCATATTTTCAGCATGCTCATCTGTTGATGAACATTATTTGGGCTGTTTCCAACTTTTGATTATCAGGAACAGTGCTGCTGTGGGTGTATGTGCCAGGACTGGTCCTCAGACCTCAAGTGGCCAATTTTCATCACTTCACACACCAGCATTGGAGGGTGTGCCCACTTCTAATCAAGGGCGCCATTTGTACCACGACTCTTGTGCTTCTGTCTAGGATGATAAAATACAGGAGTCATTTTTAGAGATTTTTTTTTCCTTTTTTTTTTGCCAGTCATGAGGCTTGAACTGAAGGCCCAGGCACTATCTCTGCGCTCTTTTGCTCAAGGCTAGCACTTGAAGCCACAGCACCCCTGGGCACTATCCCTCAGCTCTTCAGCTCAAAGCCAGTGCTCTACCACTTGAGTCACAGAACCCCTTCTGGTTTTCTGATGGCTAATTGGAGATGAGTGTCACAGACTTTTCTGCCAAGGCTGACTTCAAACCTCAATCCTCAGATCTCAGCCTCCCAAGTAGCTAGGATTCCAGGCATGAGCCACCAGCTCTGGGCTGATGATTGAGTTGAATGCAATGAATGCCATCATTCTGTGCCTGAATGCAGCACCTTGTTATTAAGGAAGAGTGTTAAGTTTAAATGTGAAATGTCCCTCCAGCCCCAGCTGGTGGTGCTGTTTGAGGAGATGCTAGAAACCTTAGGAGGCGGGGCCTAGGAGAGAACCTGGGAGCCTGACCTTGGGAGTCTCTTCTGCTTACTGTCCACCATGAGGTGAGCAGCCTCTGCCTCATTCTTCTGTCCCATGATGATCTGCCTCCTCCCTGAACCCCACTGAGCTCCTCAATGTCTAAAACCCTGAGCCCAAGCAAGCCCTTCCTCCTTCACTTTCTCTATCAGGGATTTTCGCCTCAGTAATCAAAGGTCTGAGTAAAAAAGGAGTAATTGGTTTGCAACCCTCTTTTTCTACCCTTGCATTCTTTTTCTTCATTGGAATGGAGTGGGTCACATAGCCCATGGAACTGTGACACTGACTTCTTCATCATGCGTGATTCCCCAAGCCATCAGTTGTTGTTTTGCTCTTATCTTTACCTTTAGCACATCTGTATTATGAGTCTTGATTTGTTTCTAATGACATGATTTGTTTCAGGGCACCGTTTATTACAATCAAGAGGGCACCTCATGGTATGAGGGAGACTGGGTATACAATGTGAAGAAGGGCTGGGGAATCAGACGGTAGGTGTGGCTGGGGCTGGGCTACAATAGGGGTAGGGGCCAAAGGGCCACATTTCCTGTCTAAACAGGGTGGGATGTTTAAATCACTCCTATATAATCTCCACTGAGGAAATCTCCACTCCTATATCATCTCCACTGTACAGAGAAACTAGAACACCATTTTATTTTATTTTATTTATATTTTGTCAGTTGTGGAACTTGAACTCAGGGCCTGGGCACTGCTGTCCTGAGCTCTTTTGTTCAAGGCTAGTGCTGTACCACTTTGATCTATAGCAATACTTTTCTGGTTTTTGAGTAGTTAATTGGAGATAAGAATCTCATGGGAACTTTTCTGCCTGGGCTAGCTTTGAACCAGGATCCTCAGATCTCAGCCTCTTTTTTTTTTTTTTTTTTGGGTCCGGTTGTGGGGCCTGAACTCTGGGCCTGGGCCCCGTCCCTCAGCTCTTCAGCTCAAGGCTAGCACTCTACCACTTGAGCCACAGCGCCACTTCCGGCTTTTTTCTTTTTGCTTATGTGGTGCTGAGGAATCGAACCCAGGGCCTCGAGCATGCAAGGCAAGCGCTCTACCACTGAGCCAACTTCCCAGCAGCCAGATCTCAGCCTCTTAAGTAGCTAGGATAACAAGCATGAGTCACCAGCACCCAGGAAGTCAAGATTTTTTTTTTGTCAGTTGTGGGCATGAACTCTGGGCCTGGGCGCTGTCCCTCAGCTCTTCAGCTCAAGGCAAGTGCTCTACCACTTGAGCCACAACGCCACTTCTGGTTTTCTAGTGGTTTATTGGAGATAAGAGTCTCATGGACTTTCTTGCCTGGGCTGGCTTTGAACTGTGATCCTCAGATCTCAGCCTCCTGATTAAGCTTCAAAGGCATATTCTATGTACAATGTCACACCTCATTGTTTCTTTTGTTCCAGTTACAAATCTGGAAACATCTACGAAGGCCAATGGGATGACAACCTACGGCATGGGGAGGGAAGGATGCGATGGCTGACCACCAACGAGGAGTACATGGGCCACTGGGACAGGGGGGTGCAGGTAGGCTCCACCAGGCTCACTAACATGGCCGCTCTGGTTGGTAGATGCTGCACCATTAGGTATTTCCTGGGCGAGTGTTGGAAGCTTGAGCTATCTATGGAATGACTCCACTTCCTATTGAATTTATCAGCAGAGTTGTTCGCAGCATTCCCCCCATCCCCCTCCGCTGCCTGTCCTCTTGGTATCTCTTGAATCTCTAGGCCATGTTCCCTCTCTCTCCCAACACAAAGAGTTTGTGTTTCCACTCCTTAAGCCTTGCTTCATAGAGCTGTAGTGATTCCATGATGTGCCACAAAGCCAGCTGTGGGTATTCACACCTTTTTTTTTTTTTTTTTTTTACAACAAATGATATTCATTTAAGAAGTTTTTTTTTTTAATCAAAAGTTGTATATAAGATTATTTTACTCCTGCATCTTCTCAATTGTTTCTTCCTTGTATTTGCCCTTTTCCTTTCCTACTTGGCAGGATTTGGCTTTCTGTTCCAGGATCTTTTTGTGGTCTGTGTCCAGTTTCAGCCTGGTGATAACCACCTTGCTGGGGTGAATGCCCACGTGGACAGTGGTGCCATTGGCCTTTTCCAAAACACTGTCCCCGTTCAATGTAGATGACATGCTTCTTTCTGTAAACCTGGACCACTTTGCCAATCTGCTGGCCTTTATAGTGTCCTCGTACAACCTGCACCTCATCATCCTTCCGGATGGGGCATAGACCGCACATTGTACTTTTGTCTCAGCTCTTTGGAAAGAGGGGAAGACATAATCTTCCTGCGTATGTGGGAAGGTGCATTGAAATGCCTTTTCCGGTTCTTGCTTCGGTCAGAAGTGACAAAGGGATTGAACTTCATTTTGGCCGCTCCTGCTTCTGGGATGGCCGAAAAGGGGGAAGAAGGGTATTCATACTTTCTCTGATGTGTTCCTGATTCCAGTGTAATTGCCATTGGCTCTTTGTTATTACTTTCTGGGTTGTATGAGTTGGTTTTAATTTGCTCTTCCTTTTCTAGATTTGTGAAAATGGACATTTTATTGATGTTATTGAAACTTGATTGAGTTTTTTCCTTTTCTTTTTTATTTCAGTGCTGGGGATGCACCCCAGGGCCTTGTGTGGGCTACCAGGTGCTCTGTGCTTAGCTGTGTGGAGTCACAAAGCACATGTCCTTCAGATGTTGGTTCCTGTCACTGAGCTTAATGTCCTCAGGGTCATCAGTGTTACAGTGCATGTCAGAATTCCTTTTCTTTTTAGGGCTGAATAATATTCCACCACACATACTGACTTCATTTTGTTCGCTCATCCAGCAGATGCTTGTATGGCTTCTGATAGTAATTATCAACATAACATCTTTGACTGTGTGTATGTATGTATATGTGTGTGCATGTGTGTGTGTGCGTGTGTGCACACACACACGCACGTGTTAGTACTAAGACTTGAACTTAGAGCCTTGTGTACTCATTGAGATTTTTTTGCTCAAGGCTGGCACTCAACCACTTGAGCCACAGCCCTACTTCTGGCTTTTCGGTGGCTAACTGGAGATAAGAATCTCACAGACTTTTCTGTTTGAGCTGGCTTTGAACCTCAATCCTCAGATCTCAGCCTCCTGAGTAGCGAGGATGACAGGTGTGAGCCACCAGCACCCGGCCTGTCTTTGATCTTTTACAGGCAACCTGTAGGGCAGGTGCTGTTTCCCTTCAATAGCCGCAGGACCTAAAAGATTTAAATAATTCGCTTCCAGTCAAGAGACTGGTTAGCAAACATTCATGCCTTTGCCCTCTGTTTTACATGGATTCTGAGAAGAGGAGGAAATATTTTGTGCCTTTCTGATGGCAGTGTGCTTTCTTTATAGAATGGCTTTGGAAAATACACATGGTTTCAAAAGAGAATCCCCAACTCCCAGTACACCATGAGGAACGAGTACATCGGGGAGTTCGTGGACGGGTGTCGCCATGGACAGGGGAAGTTTTACTATGCCAGTGGAGCCATTTTTGAGGGCGAGTGGATTTGTAATAAGAAGCATGGTGCGGTGAGTGCGGTCTGTGCAGCGCATGACCAACACTGCAGACTCACCACACGGATAACACATTCCTAACCCACTGTCTGTCCATTTCCTAGATTTTTCTAAGTTATTTGATAAGTTCTGTGTGTGTTGGGGTAGGGTTTGGTCATATTAAGACAGACAGTCTTTTGTTGCTGTTGTTGTTATTGTTAGTTGTGGGGCTTGAACTCAGGGCCTGGGTACTGTCATACCTGAGTGGTAGGCTAACATTCACCATTTTGACCCACAGCACTACTTCTGGTATTCTGGTGTTAATTGGAGATGAGACTTATGGACTTTGCTGCCTAGGCTGGCTTTGAACTATGATCCTCAGATCTCAGCCTCTTGAGTAGCTAGGATTACAGGCCTTAGCCTAGCGCCGGTGGCTCACACCTGTAATCCTAGCTACTCAGGAGGCTGAGATCTGAGGATCTCAGTTCAAAGCCAGCCTGGGCAGGAAAGACCATGAGACTCTTATCTCTAATAAACCACTAGAAAACTGGAAGTGGCGCTGTAGCTCAAGTGGTAGAGTGCTTGCCTTGAGCTGAAGAGCTGAGGGACAGTGCCCAGGCCCAGAGTTCAAGCCCCACAACCGACAAAAAAAAAAAAAAAAAAGGATTACAGACCTGAGCCACCAGCACCCAGATTCAGACAGCTGGTCTTCTTTTTTTTTTTTTTTTTTTTGCCAATCCTGCGGCTTTGAACTCAGGGCCTAAGCACTGTCCTTGAGCTTCTTTTGCTCAAGGCTAGTACTCTACCACTTGAGCCACAGTACCACTTCTGTTTTTTTTTTTTTCTGCTTATGTTGTACTGAAGAATCGAACCCAGGGCTTCATACATGCTAGGCAAGCACTCTACCACTGAACCACATTCCCAGCCCTGACAGTTGGTCTTAATAGGGTGTATGTAATAAAAACCATGGGGGCTTCAGGGTTGGTTGGAGTCAGTGACTCAGTGATGGCAGACTTTTCTCCCATCTAGCCATGACAGCTTCTCTCTGGTGTGGCCCCTTTCCCAGGGTTGCAAGGTGGCTGCTGGCGCTCCCTCCAGACTTCACATCCGCATACCCCACTAAGTAGAAAAGAGGGAACTCTTTCTCTGCAAATGAATTCCATGTCACAGAGACAACGTGGGTCAGGAGCCCTCTGAGGCAGTACCTGCTGGCTTTTACCCAGTTGTGTGCTCTTGTGGTTACCTAATGAAGTTGAGGCCTGGTCTGTGAGCCAGGAGTGCTTCTGGTTGGGCTGAGATGGTGAGGAAGACACAGACAGGGTAGAAATGAGGAGGAAGAGGCAGAGGTGGAAATGGAGAGGGAATTTGGGTGCTTCATTCTCTGTAGACTAAGAGCTCTGAACTCAAGAACGCAATAAAAGCACCGGGTGCTAATGGCTCCTGCTTGTAATCCTAGCTACTCAGGAGGCTAAGAGGATCAGGGTTCAAAGCCAGGCTGGGCAGGGAAGGAAATGAGATTCTTCTCTCCAGGTAAACACCTAAAAAAACCAGAAGTGGCCAGGTGCTGGTGGCTCACACCTGTAATCCTAGCTACTCAGGAAACTGAGATCTGAGGATCGTGGAAGATCATAGTTCAAAGCTAGCTGGGTCAGAAAAGTTCCCATGAGACTCTGATCGCCAATAAATCTCTCAAAACCCAGAAATGGTGCTGTGGCTCGAGAGCACTAGCTTTGAGCACAGAGAGGCTCAGGGACAGCATCCAAGCCCTGAGTTCAAATCGACAAAAAAAAAAGCAAACAAAAAACAGAAGTGAAGCTGTGGCTCAAAGCAGTAGGCCCTGAGTTCAAGTCCCATGACTTACAGACAAAAAGAAAGAAAGAAAAGAAAGAAAGGAAGGAAGAAAGGAAGAAAGAAAGAAAGAAAGGTCCATTTACCAATGTTTATCCAGAGGAACTTACCCCAACAGCAACAGTGTTTTCTTCACCTGCAGGGCAAACTGACTCTCAAGAATGGCCATGTGTTTGAAGGCTTGTTTTCCAATGACCACATCACGCAGCTTCCAGATTTTGATGCTGAATTTGTACCTTACCTGGAGCCATCCTCTAGCAAGGCCCCGGTCAGCAAGGTGTGGGGTGCCGCCTCTACCACAGGAAGCTGCAGGGAGGCTGGACACATTTCTACATCCGCCACCCGCCAGGACTGTCCCCGCATGCTGGAGACGACCAAAAACCTGATCGACAGAGACGGTCCTTCCATATTAGGATCGGCCATCGAGTTGGAGCTCTCTTGGTTATTGAATATGTACCCTAAGGAGGTGCAGGCCGAAGAGAAGCTCCAGGTGAGAACCTTCTAGAGTTTCCCATGTCCATCACAGGCACATACACACTGACAGAGTGCCCACAGGCTTGGGAAAGCAGCCAGGATTGCTGTCTTGCATTGTCTTCTCTGCCCAACATGCCACCTCAGGCGTCCTAAACAGACAGACAGAGACAGACAGACAGACAGACAGCTCCAGGCATTTCAGCACCCCAGAGGCTGCAGTCCTCTGCAGATATGGACTGCTATGCTCTGGTAGGACCCCAGAGTGAACACCCAACCCTCTCTCTATTCACAGCCCCCCAAAACTCAGTGGGGTTGTGGGGCCTCGTGGGGACAACTGTCAGGAGCTGGCTATGGAGTGAAGCGGGCATCTCAACCCTCTGGGCTGAGAAGCACTTTGCGCCGCTGGTTGTGAGACTCTCTACCCCATTTCTGGTCCCGGTGCCAGCAGCATTGTCCCCACTGCCCCCTGGGTGTGTGGCCCTCTTTGAACGCCTACCATGTAAAAACACATAGGAAAAGGAGATGCCTCACAGGTAGAAACTTTGTGGCAGTTTTTCTAGGTTTTTTACTGTGTGTACTTAGACTGGGGTCATCAACTCATGGGTGCTGGTTTTTTTTTTGGGGGGGGGGGGGTCCGGTCGTGGGGCCTGAACTCTGGGCCTGGGCGCTGTCCTTCAGCTCTTCAGCTCAAGGCTAGTGCTCTACCACTTGAGCCGCCACTTCCGGCTTTTTTTCTTTTTGCTTATGTGGTGCTGAGGAATTGAACCCAGGGCCTCAGGCATGCAAGGCAAGCGCTCTACCACTGAGCTACCTTCCCAGCCCCATGGATGCTGTTTTCACAAAGAATTTAGTGACAGCCAATCAGGATTCTCTGATAATAGTTTTTATATGAACAAACTAATAACATATCTACATTAGACTCACCAAGAAAAGGTCATATTACATTATTCTCCTCTCTCTCCATCTCCCTATAATGGTTTTTGTTTTTGTGCCAGTCCTGGGGCTTGAATTCAGGCCCTGGGCACTGTCCCAGAGCTGATTTTGTTTCAGGCTAATGCTCCATCACTTGAGCCACAGCATCACTTTCAGCCTTTTGGTGGTTCATTGGAGATAAGAGTCTTTCAGACCTTCCTGCCCAGGCTGGCTTTGAATCAGGATCATCAGCCTCCAGGGTAGTTAGGATTATAGGTATAGCCATCCATCTGGCTTTCTTACAGTTCTTATATAAATATCATACAGAGCATTCATTTATAGTTCCATGTCAGGACATGTAGGTATTAAAAGTTCTATATTTCATCAGGCACTGATGGCTCATGCCTGTCATCGTAGCTACTCAGGAGGCTGAGATCTGAGGATCACTGTTCAAGGCCAGACTAGGCAGGAAACTCTGTGAAACTCTTATCTCTAGTGAGATAAGAAAACAGGAAATAGCACTGTGGCTCTAAGTGGTGCTCAAGCAAGCACACTAGTCCTGAGCAAAAGAGCTCAGGTACAGTGCCCAGGCCCAGAGTTCAAGCCCCATGACTGACCAAAAAAAAATAATGTATATTTCAAAGTATAATTATAGAGGCTTTAAAGAATTCAACTACAGGGCCGGGAAGGTGGCTCAGTGGTAGAGTACTTGCCTTGAATGCATGAGGCCCTGGGTTCTATTCCTTAGCACCACATAAGCAGAAAAGGCCAGAAGTGGCACTGTGGCTCAAGTGGTAGAGTGTTAGCCTTGAGCTGAAGAGCTGAGGGACAGCGCCCAGGCCCAGAGTTCAGGCCCCATGGCCAACAACAACAACAAAAGAATTCAACTACATGACCCAAACTGAAAGAATTTTGTAATTCTACCCTTGAGAAGTTCACTAGACATTTATGACGACTGTGGAATATTTTATAATGTGGGCATGTTGCAATTTTTTACTTTTCATTAGGAGATTGCTTTAGAGTTGGAAGTGGCCTGACTCCATATGTCTTCCTGCCAGGCTCCCTCTCATGGCAGCCACAGAAGCTCCTGCATGGGGCAGGTGTCTCCTGGGATGAGCCTGTCCCCATGGAAGGAGGGGGGAGAATGTCTTTTAGAACTGAGAGTTGCACTGGTCGCTTCTTTCCAGGTGGAATGTGCCATCTTAAGAAACATTACGGAGTTAAGAAGAATCTATTACTTCTACAGCAGTCTGGGGTGTGACCACTCTCTGGATAACATCTTCCTGATGACACAGCTCCGCTTCTGGAGATTTCTAAAGGACTGCAAGTTCCATCACCACAATATCACGATTGCCGAGATGGACAGGGTCTTAAGCAGTGAGTCTCCTAGGCTGCTGCCTTGCCAGTCTCCCATTGTACCACCTGCCACACTGTGCCCAGAAGGTAAAGGGAGGGGGGAGGATGGGAGGAGAGCAGCAGAAGTGCGTGCAGGCCTATGCTCCCTGCTCTGTGCCAGGGGCAGCTTTTGTCCTGCACCACAGAGATGATGGAGACCTACTTGGTCAGGAACACAGAGCCTCAGCCACTCGCAGCACTGATTGTCAGGAGAAAGCCGGAAGGCCCAGGAAGGGCCATAGGTTAGACTGGATTTCAGATTAGAAAATGATAAAGTCAACAGCCTTGAAGCTGAATTCTGGGAAACAGAACTAACTGATCTCCAATTCTCTATTTATAAGGCACCAACTCAGGTCAGGCCTAAATAACCTTAGCTACTCAGGAGGCTGAGAACTGAAGATCCTGGTTTGAAGCCAGCAGGCAAGAAAGTTTATGAGACTCTTATTTCAGTAAGCTAATGAAAAGGTAGAAATGGAGCTGTGGCTCAAGCCAGTAGAGTGCTAGCCTTAAGCAAAAAAAAAAAGCTCAGAGAGCTAGGAGCCTGGTAGCTCACGCCTATAATCCTAGCTACTCAAGAGGCTGAGATCTGATGATCGAGGTTTGAAGCCAGCCTGGGTAGGAAAGTCTGTGAGACTCTTACCTCAAATTAACCACTAGAAAACTAGAAGTGGAGCTGTGGCTCATAGTGGTAGAGCACTAGTTTTGAGCAAAACAGCTCAGGGACAGCGCACCAATCCTGAGTTCAAGCCCAAGAACTGGCACATTAAAACAAAACAACAACAAAAATAAAATCAACAACAAAACTTTAAAAATCTTAGAATTACTATTAAGAAAACTGTTGCTTTGAAAAAAATGAGGACATACAATCTTGTTAGGTAAGATAATGAGGCAGACCAGGTGGTTCCTACTGTAACCCCAGCACTCAGGAGGCTGACGCAGGAGGACTGAGAGTTCAAGGCCAGCCTGAGCTACACGGCGAGATCTTGTTTCAAAATCCCAGAGTAGTGTGGCTCAGTGGTAGAGTGCTTTCAAAGCCCTGAGTTCCCACCCAGCACTTCCAAAAAGTAAAAAGTATAAAAGAAAAAGAAGACCCAGTCCCAGCCTGAGCTCCTGGGCATGGTGTTAGTTCCGGTTGCTCACGTGTGTTCAGTGTTGCCAAGGAAACACGACCTTGGGGTGCTTACTATCCTCTCCACCTTTGCTCCTTGCAGCCAATAACAGCATCCCCGTAGAAGAGATTCACTCTCCCTTCCGAACAATTCTTCTGAGAAACTTTTTGAGTTACCTCCTGCAGCTGGCTTACCACATTCACCACAAAGAATACCAGTAAGTGCCTCTTTGTATCCTTCTCTGAGCTGTGGCTGGGACTTGCTCACTGCAATTGTCCTCCGTTCTCCAAGGGCCATCCATCGTCCCCACACCCCACAGATGAGTCTCTGGGAGCCAGACCCAACCACAAAGGGGGTGGGATAAGGCAAGACTGAAAATGCTCATAGCCAAGTCATTCAGTACCGAGACGGCTTTATTTAGGAATGGCCCCAGTTTCCTGTCTTAAGGCAAATGTGCTATCATTCATTATTTCAAAAAACACTTTTTTAAGGCTGGGTGCTGGTTTCTCAGGCCTGTAATCTTAATTACTCAAGTTGAAGTCTTGAAGATCTTGGTTCAAAGCCAGCCTGGGCAGAAAAGTCCACAAGACTCCATCTCCAATGAACTAGCAAGAAGCCAGGCTAGACACATGGCTCCACCATTAGTGCACCAGCCAGTAAATAAGAAAACTGAGTGAGAGCATGGGGCACTGAGGTCAAGCCCTTGACCTGGGATTAAAAAAAAATTTTTTTTAGTCAGGCATTGGTGGCTCACACCTGTAATCCTAGCTACTCAGGAGGCTGAGATCTAAGGATCGTGGTTCAAAGCCAGCCCGGGAAGGAAAGTCCATGAGACTTATCTCCAAATAAACCACTCAGAAAACCAGAAGGGGGGGCTGCGGCTCAAGTGGTAGAGCGCTTGCCCTGAGCTGAAGAGCTGAGGGACAGTGCCCACGCCCAGAGTTCAAGCCCCATGACCACCAAAAAAAAAAAAAAGAAAGCCTCCTTATCTTAAACTAATTTTGGCTTTTTGGAAGTGTTGCTGTAAGTAGATAAGAATCCTTGTGTAACGTGGAAATTGTATGTTGCATGGAAATTGATATCTTACATAGCCATAATGATTTTAACAATAGCCTGTATTAGGGTTTCCCCAGACACCCTACCCTGACCTGCTTCTGTTTAGGATGGAATCCCAGATCCCACATTCCATTTTACTATCATGTCTTCTCTATTCTTTCAGTCTTTGATAATTTCTGATACTTTATCTTTCATGATTGACATACACACACACAAATACTAGGGCTGGGTGTCAGTGGCTCATACCTGTAATCCCAGATACTTAGGAGGCTGAGATCTATAGATTGTGTTTCAAAGCCAGCCGAAGCAGGAAAGTCTATGAGACTATTATCTCTAATTAACCACTCAGAAAACCAGAAGTGGAGCTGTGGCTCAAGTGGTAGAGTGGTAGCCTTAGCAAAAAAATCTAAAGCAGAGCTCTCAGGCCCCAAGTTCAAGTCTCAGTACTGGCGAGCACACTCAGACACACACACACACACACACACACACACACACACACACACACACACACACACACGGAGGAGGGAGAGAGACAGAGGGAGAGGAACAGGACCTAGTAGCACACACCTGTAATCCCAGTGGAGGTAGGAGGCCCTCTTGGGCTACATAAAAAGATCTCGAGACAAGCAAAGGCTGGCATTGCCAGGCCCCAAGTTCCCTCCCCAGCACAAACCAACAAGTTGGTGAGTGTTTTCTCATCAATTGTCTCTTGGCTTTTGTTGTGGAGTTTTGAGATGGCAGTGGTGGTATGCTACCCCTCCTACATGGCTCATGATGTTCCACCACCCAAGATCAAGGAGGTCAGGCAGGATTCCCCTCTGCAGCCCCACAAGTCCCTTTCCATCCGCCACTGATGTCACTCAGGGGGTGACCCTCGGCCTCCAGAGGGAGCAGTCATTACACTATTTTCTGTCACAGAAACAGAAGCCCATTGCTGTCTCTGTGCTTTACCAAACTGATGGCTGAGAACATTCGCCCCAACGCCTGCCAGGTAAGAGGTAAGTAGAGGAAGAGGATCATAGTCAAGGTCCTATTTTTCAAGCCTAATTCTAAATCATCTCCTTGCTACTCTATCTTCAGGGAACTTATTCAGTGAGCAACAGCGGACGCTCTACTCCATGAATTACATGGATAAGTGCTGGGAGATTTACATGGCTTACTGCAGGCCAAACAGAGCTCAGCCCTACGAGCTCACAATGAAGATGAGGTACTTCCTCTGGATGCTAAATGTGAGTTTAACATCACTTGAGGTTTTCATTTGAGATCTGTGAGCCCCCACAAATCCTTTCCCAATAACCACTTCTCCCAGCTTCATCCCCTCTAGAACAGGAGTGGGGGACAGTGGGCTCAGAGACTTGTCACTTCAACCTCCTCTTTTGGCTGTGACTTGGGGATGGCCCAAGGCTCGGTGGCTTAGTCTCTAGAGAACAAATCTGGGCTGTACACCTCTGGTTCTCCTGTGTCCGGCCTGACACAAGGCCTAAGGCGCCTCTGTTCCACTGCCTTGATCCCCCCGAGTACCCGTCCCCTGCTTTCCAGTCTGTGCAGCTATGTGGCAGCCATCCATCTACCTATGTTCCCCATCCTTCAGCATTATAAACAGGCTTACCTGTTAACTTAGAGGACTCAGAAGGGGTCAGTGATGGGAGTTCTAGAAGGCTTTGCAAAATCAGCAGCTGTTAAGATACTGATGCTCTTAAAGTGTTCTGTTCACATTAAAATAGATGTTTGCTTGGCTCACACCTGTCATCCTAGCTACTCAGGAGGTTGAGATCTGAGAATTGCAGTTCAAAGCCAGCCTGGAAAGTACACAAGAACCATTAGAAAAACCAGAATGGGGGCTGGGAATGTGGCTGAGTGGTAGAGTGCTTGCCTAGCATGCATGAAGCCCTGGGTTTGATTCCTCAGTACCATATAAACAGAAAAAAAAAACAGAAGTGGTGCTGTGACTCAAGTGGTGGAATGCTAGCCTTGAGCAAAATAAGCTCAAAGACAGTGCCCAAGCCCTGAGTTCAAAGCCGCAGGACTGGCAAAAAAGAAAGAAAGAAAGAGAGAGAGAGAGAGAGAGAGAAAGAAAGAAAGAAGGGAAGGAAGGAAGGGAGAGAGAAAGAAGGGAAGGAAGGAAGGGAGAGAAAAAGAAAGAGAGAGAGAGAGAAGAAGGAAGGAAGGAAGGAAGGAAGCAAGAGAAGAGAAGAGAAAAGAAAAGAAAAGAAAAACCAGAATAGAGCTGTGCTTAATTGGAAAGAGCTGAAGGAGAGGGCAAGGCCCTGTAGAGGCAACACACACACACACACACACACACACACACACATACACACACCCCTGCACACACACACACACACACACACACACACACACACACACACACACACACACACACACACACACACACACACACACACACACACACACACACACACACACACACACACACACACACACACACACACACACACACCCCTGTTTGCAGTTACAGCGTAGCTGGGACTTTTGTTTTTTCTTTTACAGGACTTCAGAATGATAAATAAAGAACTAACAGCAACCAAGTTTATGCTCGTAATAGCTGAGGACAACCCCTTTGTACATGATGGAATGGACAGCAACTTTGAGTTTGAGGTCTGTATAGCTGTGTCACCAAGAGTCCAGACCCAGCTCTGGGAGGTAACAGGAAGCATGATTTAATTGACAGTCACCTGACACCAGATCCCTACATCCCTATGCAGATAAACACACATGTGTGTGCAGATGTTTGCATTAAGACACCACAGGCTTATCTTGGGCTGCTTCCACCTCCTAGAAGGAAGCAGGCCTCCTGTACTTTCTGTCCTTCTTTCCTTGCAGTTGGTTTTCCTGGAATTCTTCGAAGCTCTCTTGTGCTTTGCGGTCAACTGTATTCCTGACCAACTGACCGAGTCCTGTTTAAACCTGCCCTGCACTAATTTGCTTGGAAACAAACACGTGAGCATTTACACGATAATAAGCCAGGTAACCAGATGTGGAAGTCCAATGGATGGCTGTGTTGGGAGAGTGAAATTTGCCTCGAATGATCTGGAGCTGTTGTGTCCCCTCCAGGAAAATCATTTAAGATTTAAGAAAAATGGATGATGGCTTTTCACAATTGGAAAGGAGTATGCTGTTTTGTTGTTTTAAGTTAGGGTTAAAATATATTACTTGTGCATGGCCCAGGAGGGAGATGCCATAATGCAGGTCAGTGTGCAAACTGACCATGCAGATTTAGCATGGGTGCCTTGATTGCTGTCAGATGTCACATTACTGGACTGAGTGTTTGTGGAAAGCTGAGGCTGGGTGTGGGGGGAGGCGTGTGCCTGGGGTCCCCACGCTACTCAGGAGGCAAGGAGGATGGTATTTCGAGGCTGGCTGGAGCAATGTCAACACAAGACCCCATGTGGGAAAACAAACTCAAAAAACAAACTCCAGTAAAAGAGCTGTAGGCAAGGCTCAAGCAAGTGTAGCAAGCATGAAGCCCTGAGCTCAAACCCAGGACCATCAAAAAGTAAAAAGTAAATAAGTGTGGCTGGGAACCAGTGGCTCCTGCCTTTAATCCTAGCCACTCAGAAGGTTGAGATGTGAGGATGTTGGTTCAAAGCCAGCCTGGGTGGGAAAGTCCATGAGTCTCTTCAATGAACTACCTCCAAAAGAGTCAGAAATGGAGCTGTGGCTCAAATGGCAGAATGCTAGCCATGAGGGAAAGAAGTCAGAGACAGTGCCCAGGCCCTGAGTTCAAGCTCTAGGACTGGCACCAAAAACAGAAAACACAAGTGTAAAAAGTGGTGCTGTGGCTCAAATTGGTAGAACACTAGCTTTGAGCAAAAGAGCTCAGGGATAGCGCCCAGGCACTGAGTTCAAGCCTCACAACTGACAATAATAATAATAATAATAACAACAACAACAATTAAGTGTAAAGCTTGGAAGTGGTACTGTGGCTCAAGTGGTAGAGGCTCTCCTTGAGCTGAAGAGCGCAGGGACAGTGCCCAAACCCAGAGTTCAAGCCCCACAACCTACAAAAAAACCCCCACAAAAGTGTAAAGCCTATCCCAGAACAAAGATGTGAAGGAATGTTCGAGGGTGTGCACCGGATGCTAAGCAGGACACTGGAATCTCTGCTGGAACACCCTGGCGGGTGGAACAGCCACCATGTTGGTGATATAGAAAGATTCCAGATTCTGGGTCAGATTGAGACAAAAGGATTGTGGAGGCTTCAGATCAGTGTCATCAGGAGCCAGGAGGGAGGTCTTAAAGTCCCTCCAGCCCTTACTGGGCAACGCTTGAGAGTGCTCACACACCTTTCAACCCCTCACTGCTTACAGATCAGCTGCCGCGTCCCTTTCAGGTAGAGGTGATGGAGGCTGCTCCAGGTCATTAGCAGCTGCTCACCAGCCTCTTCTTAGGAACCTGCATTCATCTGCCATTTCATAAATGGTGCAGTAGTTTGCATTGCTCTAAGGAAATGCCTGAGTCTGTGATCTTCACAGAAAGAAATTGAGCTCATAGTTCTGCGGGTTGGGAGGTGATGGCCTTCTTTCTGGTTAGAGTCTCTAGGTAGCACAGAGCATCACAAGGCAAGAGACAGAGCATGCCTGTGGCTGTGATCTCTCTCTTGTTTTTTTTATTTTTTGTGGTGATGGGGTTTGAACTCAGGACCCTATGCTTGTTAGGCAGATGTTCTAACAATTGAGCCATACCCCCAGCTCTGTTTTGCACTGGTCATTTTTGAGATAGGGTTTCATCCTTGCCCCACAATCTGCCTTTTTTTTTCTGGTCTTGGGTTTAAACTCAGGACCTGGACACTGCCCCTGAGCTTCTCTGTGCTCAAGGCTAGTGCTCTACCACTTGAGCCACAGCACCCTTCCAGCTTTTTCTGTTTATGTGGTACTGAGGAATCCCAGAGCTTCATGCATGCGAGGTAAGCCCTCTACCACTAAGCCACATTCCCAGTCCACAATCTGCCTATTTTATGTGTCTTGTCATATCTGGGATAGCAGACATACACTACTGTATCCGGTGTCTTCCATTGAGATGGGGTCTTGCAGACTTTTTTTTTTGGACAGGACTGGTTTAGATCTTCTGAAAACCATGAGCCAAAATAATTTTTTTTCTGCCTTTAAGTTGGTTTATTGTAGGTGTTTAACTTTTTACAGCCTTGGTCCAGGAATTGGTTCTCCCTATCCTTTCTGGAAATGTCATGCTCCAACTTTGTCACTGTTCCCTTCTGCCTGGTGGATCACTTTGTTACTTAGGGATGGGGCTGAAGCACCCAGAGAAGACCCATCAGCTCAGCACAGTAGTGCCATTCTGTCACTCAGTCCCAGCCATGTTGCAAAGGCCAAGGCAGAATGGTTTTCTCCAGGAAAATTTGCCACAATGGGAAAAAAATATCCAAGAAATTCAACCAACTCCCAAATAGGAGACCTCAAAGAGATCCACTACAATACACTGTAATCAAACTGATTTAAGAACATCTCAATCATGCCAGGAGAACTGGGTGCGGTGGCCACACCTGTGGTCCTAAAACTGGCAGAGTCAGGAGGAGGATCATGAGTCAAGGCTATAGAGCAAATTCAAGGCCAGCCTGGGCTGCGTGGCAGACCCTGTCTGAGGTGTATGCTTGTGAGAGCGTGCAGGCATGCACACTCACATACGCATAGCTTTGTCATGGACAAGGGATATTTAAGATCACCAGCAGATGGGCTGGGAAGGTGGCTCAGTGGTAGAGCGCTTGCCTTGCATGCCAGAGGCCCTGGGTTCAATTCCTTAGCACCACATAAGCAGAAAAAAAAAAAAGCCGGAAGTGGCTCTGTGGCTCAAGTGGTAGAGCGCTAGCCTTGAGCTAAAGAGCTGAGGGACAGCGCCCAGGCCCAGAGTTCAGGTCCCACGACCAGACCCCCAAAAAAAAAAAAAGATCACCAGCAGATTTTTTACCAGAAACGTTTGGAGGCCAGAGATAATGGACATTAGGATTTTAATGTTCAAAATACTAATGTTCAAAATACTAAAAATCCTTGAAAACTTGAGCTTGATGTTAAGATATCCACAGATAATCAGAAGGTAAGGGACTAAGTATGTGAGGGTAAGGGACTAAGTATGTGAACCTACAATGCAAGTAATCATGAAGGTCTGCAGGGAGAATGTAATGACAATGCAGTTTAAGGTCATGATCTATAATTAATTAATCAAAGTTAACCTATACGCTGTGGACAATGAAGTCCTCTGAGGGATGGGGGTTTAGGTAAATGGTAGATTACTTGCTGAGCAGGCACAAGACCCTGGGTTTGAGCCTCAGCAGCATGAAAAATAATACTTTGCTGGGTGCCCATGGCTTATGACTGCAGTCCTAGCTAATCAGAAGCCTAAGATCTGAGGATTAGGGTTTAAAGCCAGGCCAGGTAGGAAACATCTGTCAGACTCTTATTTTCACTAAACTACTAAAAAAAAAAAAGCTGGAAGTGGAGCTATGGCTCAAGTGGTAGAGGACTAGACTTGAACAAAAGAAGCTCAAGGATAGCACCCAGGCCCTAAGTTCAAGCCCCAGGACTGGCATTAAAAAAAATATCCCACGCCAGGTGCCGGTGGCTCATACCTGTAATCCTAGCTACTCAGGAGGCTCAGATCTCAGGATCTTGGTTTAAAGCCAGCCCCAGCAGGAGATTCTTATCTCCAGTAAACCACTAAAAAACCAGAAGTGGCGCTGTGGCTCAAGTGGTAGAGCCCCCAGGCCCAGAGTTCAAGCCCTACTTGACCGACCAAAAAACAACAGCAACAACAACAATAACAACCCGCTGGGCACTAGTGGTTCATGCCTGTAATCCTAGCTACTGAAGAGGCTGGGATCTCAGTTCAAAGCCAGCCCAGGCAGGAATGTCCTTGAGACTCCTATTTCCAATCAACCACCAGAAAACCAGAAATGGTGGTGTGGCTCAAGTGGTAGAACTTTTGCCTTGAGCTGAAGAGCTCAGGGACAGTGCCCAGGCCCAGAGTTCAAGCCCAATGACCAACAAAAAAACAAGCTGGTCATCGGTGGCTCACGCCTATAATCCTAGCTACTCAGGAGGCTGAGATCTGAGGATCATGGTTCAAAGCCAGCCTGGGCAGAAAACTCAGACTCTTTTTTTTTTTTGGTCCGGTCGTGGGGCCTGAACTCTGGGCCTGGGCACTGTCCCTCAGCTCTTCAGCTCAAAGCTAGTGCTCTACCACTTGAGCCACAGCGCCACTTCTGGCTTTTTTCTTTTTGCTTATGTGGTGCTGAGGAATTGAACCCAGGGCCTTGAGCATGCAAGGCAAGTGCTCTACCACTGAGCCACCTTCCCAGCCCAAAACTCAGACTCTTATCTCCAGTAAACCACTAGAAAACCGGAAGTGGTGCTGTGGCTCAAGTGGTAGAGTGCTTGCCTTGGGCTGAAGTGTGCAGGGAAAGCGCCCAGGCCCAGAGTTCAAGCCCCAGGACTGACAAAAAAAAAACAACCCAAAATCCCAAACAACAAAAAACCCCACCTCGCATTGAAGGACACTGTTCACCTAAGGTTTGTTAAATAGCTAAAATACAGGATATATATGACTCATGGCAAAAAAGCAAATCAATTTAAAAAGTGAACAAAGAGCTACCAATATTAAGTATATGCAAAGCAAAACCACAGCAAAACAAGAATGCTACTAAAAACCCAGAATATCAAACATTAGTGAGCATGTGCACTGTCAGTGGGAATGGAAAATGGATAACAGCAACCTAATTGCTGGATAGATTCACCTAAAAGAACTAGAACTGGGGCTTATTGGGAGTATTTATACATCCCTGTGTGTAGCAACTGCACTAACAATAGCTAAAATATGGAAGGATAACCGGCATGCATTAGTGAATGGACAAGCAAAATGTATTGACTTGAATGGAATATTGCTCAGCCTTGGAAAGGAAGGAATTTTTTTTTTTCTGCCAGTCCTGGTGCTTGAACTCAGGGCCTGGGTGCTGTCCCTAAGCCTCTTTGTGCTCAAGATTAGCACTCTACCACTTGAGCCACAGCACCACTTCCAACTTTATCTGTTTATGTGATACTAAGAAATCAAATCCAGGGCTTCAAGCATGCTAGGCAAGCACTCTACCACAAAGCCACATTCCCAGCCCAGGAAGGAATTCTGACAGGCACTACATGGAGCATCATGAAGGAAGCTGCTCACTGCATGGTGGCCAGGAAGCAGAGAGACAGGCAGCATCTGGACCACACAGTGGACCCCTGTGGCTTATTTCCTCCAAGCCTTACGTCCTACTAGCGTTTCCACCACTTCTCAATAGTGCTTCTAACCCACTGCCTGGTGATGAACCCACAGCTGGGGCCAGGAAGCTCTCAGGGTCTACAGAGTGAAGAGCACCACTGGGGAGAGCATCAATTTGATAGAGGGGTCAGATGAGGACACAAACCCTAAATGGATGCATAGTGCAAGAGAGCTTCCCAGTACACTGGGACATGGACGGAAAGAGATAACGACATCATCTCCCTTGCCAATGAGAGGTCCCGCCCTCAAAGTCAGAACAAAGAACTGACACAGTACCAGCACTTTCCACAGTACAACAGCTGCAGAAGCTACTTCTCCCCAGCATCCATGAACCACTCACCAGCCCAGATCATATCCCAGGTCACAAAACAAGTCCAGTAGTGAAAGTCTGCAGGCCTGTCCAGCTAACCAAATCTCACCCATGCAACAGATGGTGACTTGTAAAACAACACAAGCAAATACCTAAGTGATTATGCTGGTGAAACATGGGTATATATATATATATATATATATATATATATATATATATATATATACCCACGACCATATCCATAGAAAATTCTAGAATGCCCAGTCTTGTGTTGTATTCAGTGGTTACCTGGGGATGGAGGAAGAGACATGGACTTCTTAGGGTAGGGTCGGGGAAGGGAAGACAGAGAGCCTTTTCTGACTGTGGTAGCTTCACAGATGTCCTCTGCCCACAATATGTTAATTATGCTGATTTCTAGCCAGTGACACCTCATTAAAGACCAGTGTCTCCATTGTCCCTGCTCAGACCCACAGGAGCACCAGCGCTGGCAGCCCCGAGTCCGACATTGTTCATTTGAGCAGCAAGTCCTCTTCAACCAAGTTGGGAGTCCTGCCTGAAGGCAAAATCAAAAGATCCGAGGTCTGTGTCCCAGATGGGGTGGTAGGCCACAAGCTGTGAAGGATGGGAGCTGAGCATTTCAGTGAGATCAGCTTAGCTGAGGCCCCAGTGCCCACAGCCATACCAGCTGGGACAAGGGGCTTCTCCATGCTGGGGGAGGGAGGGAGAGGGAGGGAGAGAGCCTGGCTCTTGACGAACCTGACCTGTCAGGGAGCTCCCAGAACTGTCAGGGAGCTAATTAGGCTGAGGACAGGCAAGGGCTGAGGTCTGAAGGGTTCTGGAAGTGTGGGGGATGAGAGAGAGAGGAAAGGCAAATGGAGGGGGGGAGGGGATGGGGGTTGGTTGAGGTATTGAGCTTGAGCTACTGAAGGATTCAGTGGCTCTTTATTATGATTGTGAAGGCCAGAGTGGGGGTGGGGATAGGATTCCAGGGCAGAATGAAGGGATATGATGAAGGTGCTCCATTAGACATGAGAGTGGTAACAGCCAGTGGCCAGGGGACAAGTCTGTAGTTGGAGGGTGACTTCGGGTGGAGATGGTGGTCATGGACACCATGCATAAGAGTCCAAGTATGGCCGATCATACACAGTAATGCTTTCCCCTAAGGCCCAGGGAAGATGCTCCCATCTCTGGGGCTTTGAGGGGAGGAGTAATTCTGCTATTCACCCTCTTAAACAAGAGTACAAATCTCAATATGTTATTCAAGTTAAGAATCATCAAATTAGTGGAGTCTGGTGACGCAGAGCTGTAATCCCAGCACTCAAGAGGCTTAGGCAGGAAGATCTTGAGTGTGAGGCAAGCCTGGGCTACACAGTGAGATTGTGTCTCTAAAATGAAACCTGCAGTTGAGTCAAAATTAGCTCAGAAAGAATGGCTTCATTCTGGCCTGGACTACCTAGAGAGATCCTGTCTGAAACAGGATCCTAGGGCTAGTCCTAGGGCTTGAACTAAGGGCCTGGGTACTGTCCCTGAGCTTTTTTTGCTCTCCCACTTGAATCAGAGCTTTACTTTTTGCTTTTTTTTTTGGTAGTTTACTGCCTGGTCTGGCATTGAATTGTGATCCTAAAATCTACGCCTCCTGAATAGGATTACAGGCATGAGCCACTGGTTAACTAGTTCCAACTGACAATGATACAGAAGTAACATTTTGCTTTACGATTTTTTAAAATGTAACAGCACAGGATCAAGAAGTCTTTGAGTGAAGATAGAAGTTCCAAAATGAATCTTGAACCCACAGACAAGGGGCTGATTTTAACGGCTCAGAATCGTAAGTGCTTAAAACTTCAACGTGCCTGTTGCTGCGCAGGTTGTGTATGTGTAAGGCATGGCTTCAGCCTTGGGTCCTCTTGGGCTCGCAGTGTTCAGTCTGCTCTCAGGGCATGCCTGGACTCCATCCTTAGCCAGTGTCTCTCTCAGGACTCTCTTTTTTTTAATGTTCATTTTCTTTGCTTCTGGGGATGGAACTCAGGGTCTTACGCTTCCTAGCTAAGCACTCTATCACTTGAGCTACAATCCTTCCCCCCAGCACTTTTGCTTTATTTTTTTTTTTTGAGAGAGGGTCTTATGTTTTTGCTGGGCTGGCCTCAGTGCTCTTTGTATTTATGCCTCCCTTATGGGTGGGATTATAGGTGCGCCCTACCCCTGTTGATCCCTCTGTCTGATTTTACAAGGCCTTCCAGTTAAAAACAACAGAAAACACTCCATTCAATGCCTCCGTTTCCTCTAGACATCATCCTGCTCCTTTCTTCCCAAGAAACATCTCTGGCCTTCCTTCTCCCATGCACTGCTAGCAAGTGTGAGGTCCTGAGTTTAAACCCCAGTTCCACCAAAAAAAAAAATTAAGGAAGCCATGTGAGACTTAATCTTAGATTATTATTATTATTATTATTATTTTTGGTCCAGTCGTGGGGCCTGAACTCTGAGCCTGGGTGCTGTCCCTCAGCTCTTCAGCTCAAGGCTAGTGCTCTACCACTTGAGCCACAGTGCCACTTTCGGCTTTTTTTTTCTGCTTATGTGGTGCTGAGGAATTGAACCCAGGGCCTCAGGCATGCAAAGCAAGCACTCTACCACTGAGCCACCTTCCCAGCCCAGATTATTATTTTTTTAAATGCCAAACCTTAACAGCATGAAATAACAAAATTAGCATAATCAAGTTATGAAAATAAATACATACCATATACCTGACAAGTTTCATTACTGATAATGTAGAGATTGAACTCCAACTGCCAGCTAATTCCACTCCCAACAGTTTTATGAATTTGACAGAAGGATCCTGATGTTCATCTGGAGAAAGCAACAGGCAGAAACAGATACCAGAATATTAAAGGGCTGGCACAGTCCTTGTGGAGCCCTAGGCTCCGTCCTCATCAGTAAAGATAAAGAATATTAAAAAGAAAGTCAAGCAAGTAATGTTTATTCTAGCTATGAAAAAATATGGGCTGGAGCCGGGCGCTGGTGGCTCACGCCTGTAATCCTAGCTACTCAGGAGGCTGAGATCTGAGGATCACAGTTCAAAGCCAGCCCGGGCAGGAAAGTCCGTGAGACTCCTATCTCCAATAAACCACCAGAAAACCGGAAGTGGCGCTGTAGCTCAAGTGGTAGAGCGCTTGCCTTGAGCTGAAGAGCTGAGGGACAGCGCCCAGGCCCAGAGTTCAAGCCCCACGACCGACAAAAAAAAAAAAAAAAAAAAAATATGGGCCGGGAATGTGGCTTAGTGCCAAGCATACATGAAGCCCTGGGTTTGACTTCTCAGTTCCACATAAACAGAAAAAAGCCACAACTGGTGCTGTGGCTCAAGTGGTAGAATGCTAGCCTTGAGCAAAAAGATCAGGGACAGTGCCCAGGCCCTGAGTTCAAGCCCCAGGACTGGTTAAAAACACTCACACAAAGGGGCTGGGAAGTTGGCTCAGTGGTAGAGTGCTTGCCTTGCATGCATGAGGCCCTGGGTTCGATTCCTCAGCACCACATAAGCAGAAGAAAAGCTGGAAATGGTGCTGTGGCTCAAGTGGTAGAGCGCTAGCCTTGAGCTGAAGAGCTGAGGGACAACGCCCAGGCCCAGAGTTCAGACCCCACGACCAGACCCAACACACACACACACACACACACACACACACACAACACACACACACACACACACACACACACACACACACACACACACCAGTGGCTCGTGCCTGTAATCTCTGCTACTTACGAGTCTGAGATTGGGAGGATCAGAGTTCCAAGCCAGGCTGGCAGCAAAGTTTGTAAAACTCCTCAACTAGACATGGTGGAGCCAGCCTGTTACCCAGGCTATGATGGGAAGCATCAAAAAAATCTCTGAAAATGCAAAGCTACAATAAGTAAAACTATGGTTTTGGGGGAAAAAAGTAGTCAGGTCATTGTAAACACAAGCATAAGCGCTTAATCTATACTAAAGAACTTATTTCTTCTTATTTAATAAATACATCTGGGAAAAACAGATGTATTCCAGGGATGTAGCCCAAGAAAATTCTAGTTGTTCACAACAGCATTGCTTTTACAACTGTAAAACAAACTGTTGGCCAAGTAGATGACTGTACCCCTCTTATAGTTTCTGCCAGACAATAGAATACATGTATGACCAATTAAAAGTTCTCTTGTAAATTACATTGCTGGTTGGGCACTGGTGGGTCTCACATGTAATCCTAGTTACTCTGGAGACTGAGATCTGAGGATTGTGATTTGAGGCCAGCCCAGGAAGAACAGTGTGCTGGACTCTATCTTAAATTAACCAGCCAGAAAATTGGACTGAGGCATGCCTCAAGTGGTAGGGCACTAGCTGTAAGCAAGCAAACTAAGTGAAAACATGAGGTCCTCAGTTCAAGACTTGGTATGGGGCTCTCTCCACAAAACCAAACCAAAACAAACCAAAACAAAAAAAACCCCACGCATTGTTAACTGAAAGCAGGGCACTTGGCGATAGGTTATTAACATTGGATTACAGGGAAAAGGCAGCACATACATTGTGTTTCTGGCAGTGCTTAGAAAGGGCCTAGAGGTTAACAGGTGCCCAATAAATATGTCGAGCAAATCTAGTGCCTTTTGCTATGAGCAAGCCTGGCTTCAATAGTTAGGAATTTTGCTCAGTTTTATCTTCATAAAGATTTTAAGAGGCTGAAGGTGTGGCTTAGGTGGTAGAGCACCAAGAACACAATGAATAAAAGCATCAAATTGAGTTTGAGTCCTGCTGGTCTGGAAGAGTCCATTCTAATCCTCACCCTCCCTGCCGCACATTCCTAGGGTCATGACACGGGCCTCCAGCATGGCAGGACTCCTGTGTGTGGGGCTCAGCCTTAGAGGTGCGCATGGTATCTGCACACTGCTTCCCACTACACCTGGTGAAACTGGCCAACATGGCAACTTCCTGAGGTCGCATGGTTGATCGGCTACACAGCTGGGCCTCCATTCTGATCTGTAGGTTAGAGTAATGGTTTTGAACTCAGGGCTCTGCATGTGTAATACAAGTGCTCTACCACTTGAACCATGCCCTAGGCTTTTTTTTCAAATAGGGTCTTGGGTTTTATCCTTTTACCCATGTTCTTCTTGTAGCTGAGATTACAAGCATACACCAACTTGCCTGGTTTATGGGGTAGGATGAGGTCTTGCTTCAGGCAAGGGCTGGCTGGCCTTGAACCATGATCCTCCCTAACTCCAGTTCCTAAGGAACTGGGATTACAGGCAAGGGCTCCCATGCCAGCCCCAAATCTGTGATTTTGTCCATTATACTGTGCTGTTTTCTGGTAGAAGTGGCACAAAACCCCTCTCATACTGGGTCAGTTGAGTCAAATTTTTGAAATCTTCATTCCAGAAACCAAAACACTTACACTATTTAGGAAACAGGAAGAGAACAGGTAGGAGGCAGCTCAAAGGCAGTGAGGACCAACCCCAGTCCACTGCAGGCCTGCCAGTCCCATGTGGTCTCTAATGCCTCTGGCAGGGTCCTTGGTCCTTAGGGCCCAGCCATGCGCAGGCCCCCCCCTTGCTGGCAGGAGGCAGGCTCAGGCCTCGAAACCTTTCTTCTAGAGAAACACGAGAAAAGCCTGGATGAACAGAAGGAGAAGGTGAACACATGGGTCAGCAGGCTGTACATGTTCTTCGTGAACAGGCTCTTCCATGCCTTCAAGTGCGAGGAAGTCATCAAGGAGAAGATGAAGGAAAAGCATCAACAAGACGCCATACTTGCCCAGCAGAGGAAGGCGGAAGAGGAGGAGCTAGAAGCGAGGTGTGCAGGCCCAGCCTCCTCCTCTTGTGTAGCAACACCATGCACTGGGTTCGCAGACTGGTAGTGCAAGCACACGGTGCCCTCTGCGTGCCTGCATTCTCTGAGAGATCCAGGAAGCATTTAGCCTTGCTCTTACCAGAATGTTGGTAACTTCTGGTGGTGGGATCCTCTGGTGTCGCTTGGTCTTTGGTTCCTGGCTCCAGGACTTCTTAGGGCCATGGTGTATCTAGAGGAACAAATGTTTTTTCTTTTTTGGGAGCAGTACCAAAATTTGAACTTAGGGCCTCCTACTGCCTTGTAAACTGAGCAAGCCCATAGCCCTGAATATCAGCAGAGGTGGGGTAGGAGGGAAGTAGGGGAGGCATCTGAGGTCTTGAGGGACTGCATGAAATCTGTGCTAGCCCTGGGCAGACAATGATGCTGCACTGTGCAGTCTCATGGAGCCATGCTAGTCTCTCCAGGAAGGAAGACACAAGGCAGGGGAGGGATGAGAGTGAAGGGAAAGCAGCCTACTGAGGGTGTGGGCATGGGTGGGCTTTGCAAAGTGACAGTAATCCAGGAGTGGCCAATTTGCCATGCCTCACAGCAAAGTGTATGAAACGTCCAAGACAAACACAGCTAACCTGTGGCTTGTGCTTCTAGGATGATCATCTTAAGGACGGAGGAGATAAAGAAAAAGGAGTCCCCAACTGAGATCCCTGAGGAGAGGGAGCCTGCAGATATGCTGCCCATACTCCCGCTGCTCACACTCGGCTCCCCCAAGGAAGACAGGGCTATGTCCCAAGTCAGCAGGATCGGCCGAAACAAAAAGAAGAAGAAGTAGAGGCAGCAGAAGCTACACAGGGACCCACGTCCACACAGCAAAGCTCCATGTCCCCGAAACCTCCACCGTGGTCTGTCATGTCCAGCCTCCCTCTGTGCCACCATGGACACCAGCCTGCTTAACAGCACAGACACAAGTGTGCTCATGAATGTACATTAAACTCCAAGCTTAACAACTCAAAGCCAACTAGTGATGATTAAGCTGGAAGAGGAGGGAGGTACTCACGTTTCTTCACATGCTTCTACAGGCAGGCTCCCTGACCACATGGCCAGATGGCTCCACTGCACTTTGGAGCTCTTTATTGTTTTTGGTAGTAGTTAGGTTTGAATTCAGGGCCCCCTAGGCAGGTGTTCTATCACCAAGCCATGTCTCCAGCCCTTTGTGCTTTATTTTCCAAATACTGTCTTGAGTTTATAGCCTAGGCTGGCTTGGTCTCCAGTCCTTCTGTTTACACTTTCTACATGGCTAGGACAACAAGAAAGACTCCCCATACCCAACCTTTTTATTTGTTGAGGTGGGATCTTGTTTTTTTTACCCATGCTGGTCTCAAACTGTAAGCCTCCTGATCTCTGCCTCCATAGCAGCCAGGAATACAAGTATGAGCCACGGTGCCCTGCCTTTTGTTCATTTACTGAGCCAGGGCCTCACTATGTAGCCCAAGTTGTCTTGAAACCCTGATGCCTCAATTTCCCAAGTGCTGGGATTACAGGCATGAGACACCACACTCTAGTGTTTCTGTCTCCCAGCAAAAAGCCACAAGGCAAGGAGAGAAACGAACAAGGAGGAACCCTGGGAAAAGCTGACCAATCTGACTGAATTGCAAGCAATACTTGAGCAAGACAAGTGAAAACAAAAGTGATCACATGCATGTGAAGATAACACAGTGACCATCCAGAGGCAGCATTCCACATGCACACACATACCTAGAGGGTCAGCCTGGAAATTGACAGAGCTCAGAGAGGGCTGCTGTCCAGACCGGAGAAACAGCAAAGTGACACAAAACATGGTACATGCAAGCAACTTGTGAAAAAACTCCCAACTACTACCATTAGGAACCAGCAGGTGATAGGATCATACCAACACACTGGCTGACTTTCAGGTAGAGAGCGGTAATTCCAGTGGTCCATCAGAAGACTGGAAGAATCTAATTGTACTACATCATGACACCTGCAGGGAAGACACATGATCAATAAGGCCCCATGTGATGGAAAACTAGCAGCAATTGCAAGGAAGGCTCAGGTGAGGGGAAACCAAGGTACAGATTATAAATTGTGACGATGGAAACCCTGCATCTCAGCAAAGCCTTCCCCTCTGTAGTGCAGGGCTGGGGCCTTCTGATAAGGACATTTTGATATTTAGGACATCATCCTTGGGCCACACAAATGATCAGTACAGGCACACCTGTCCTGTCATGTGTCAGAGGTTTTGGGGCCCTCCTATGCCTGAAGGCTGGACACTCCACACCCCCAGAACAGAGTAGACACATAAGCCAAGAGGTCTGAGGAAAAGCTGGTTTTGCGGTGAGGGAAATAACTGTGTTTTGTTTTTTTGGGTCTGGTCGTGGGGCCTGAACTCTGGGCCTGGGCACTGTCCCTCAGCTCAAGGCTAGCGCTCTACCACTTGAGCCACAGCGCCACTTCCAGCTTTTTTCTTTTTGCTTATGTGGTGCTGAGGAATAGTACCCAGGGCCTCTTGCATGCAAGGCAAGCGCTCTACCACTGAGCCACCTTCCCAGCCCCAATAACTGTGTTCTTTAGACCACTTCAGTTGGCTGGTTTATACCCAGCTCCTAGGCTCAATTCAATGGCACTGAGTTCTGCCCTTGGGGAGCCTTTGTTAAGGTCTTGTATGGGATATGGTCTAAACATCACAGCGGTACTCAAGCAGATGTAGCCCTGGGCAAAAAGACAAGACACTCAGCCAACACCAGAATTTTAAAAACTTTAACAATTTATTAGTCTTATTTCCCAGTAAAATATTCACATAATGTCAAAGGAATGGAATGATAGAGCTGACTACCTTTAATTCCACATAAATATTGAAAATCTAAAAACCTCAGGGGATCACCAGACCAAGTAGAAATTGATTCTTCAAACCAAGTATTGCTTTACTACATCATGAATGCAGTCAGTAATAGGACCAGTAACTGGCAGCAGTAAACAGGTCTGTCATCTGGGCAGGTGCAGTTCATCAATCCAGGAAGAAGATATTATTGAACTGTGTGGCACACAGCTTCTTCACTTCCTCTGCAGAGAGAGTACAAAGGGTGCGTTAGTAACACCAGGTGTGTGAGCAACGCCAGGTATGTGGCGCACACTATGAACAGGTGGGAAGAAGCAAGTGCTGGCATTCCTTCTGACCCTGAGTTCCACAAGTCTAAGCAAGAAATGGGAAACAATTGAGAGTATGGGGGGAGAAACACACCTGAAAAACTCATGAGACTGCCATGCTCCCCAACACACAGAAACACTGCTGCTATGGATCTGAGAACCCCCAGTCAGCAATTGGAGTGCAGCAATCTTAGAGAATTCTAATCTAGACATGGTTCGTCTGGACAAAGCTAATGAGACAGCGCGAAGGCCCTGGATGCAACCTTGAGTTGTAGATCAAGTGTTCCACAGAAGCATCATGACCTGGATTTTAGAGATTTCCACCTAAAATCAGGCATATATGGGGAAGGGTATGGTGGCTCATGCATGTAATCACAGCTACTCAGGACACAGAAGTAGGAGAATCTTGGTTTGAAGCTGGTCAGGGCAATAACGTAAGACCCTAATTGAAAAACTAAAGACAAAAGAAAAAAAAAGTTGGTGGAGGTGGCTCAAGTAGCAAAGCACTTGCCTAGCCACATGTGAATCCCTGAGTTCAAGCCCCAGTACCACCAAAACCAATTGCTATACAGGCATGTGCTATGTTTTCAAGGTGCACAACTACCAATACAAGAATTAAGAGTAAAAAGATTTAATATGCCCTAGGAGATAAAAAAGCAAGTAAGCCTTCACTGCTAACTTCCCTTTCAGTCTGCACATGGGCTGTGTCTCCCTGTGCTGCTGCTTGGCTTCAGGTCTAAGGCAGTAATGATGCTCAACCCAGTCACAGGCATTGCCCTTTCTTTAGGGTAATAGTCACCAGGACCCACAAACTCCTGGGGCATTGGAGAGGGCTGGCTGTCCTTTGAGGATATAGAAAAGGTTTTGTTGTTGTTTTTTGCTCAGGGCCTGGGTGCTGTCTCTGTACTTCTCTTGCTCAAGGCTCTACCATTTGAGCCACAGCACCACTTCGACTTTTGGTAATTTATTGGAGATAAGAATCTTGGGGGCTGGGATGTAGCTCAGTGGCAAAGCGCTTGCCTAGCAAGTGCAACGTCCTGGGTTCGATCCCCAGTACCAAAAAAGAAAAGACAAAAAAAAAAAAAAAAAAGAATCTTGGGCATGGACTTTCCTGTCCAGGCTGGCTTTGAACCGTGATCCTCAGAGCTCAGCCTCCTACAATAACTAGGATTAGAGGCATGAGCCCAACTAGAAAACGAGATGTTTTTATTATTTTATTTTTTGTCAGTCATGGAGCTTGAACTCTGGGCCTGGGTGCTGTCCCTGAGCTCTTCAGCTCAAGGCAAGTGCTTTACCACTTGAGCCACAGTGTCATTTCCCACAATATTATTTCTGGTTTTCTGATGGTTAACTGGAAAAACCAGTTTTCTGGATTTTCCTTGCCCAGGTTAACTTTGTTGAACCATAATCATCAGATCTCAACCTCCTGAGTCGCTAGGATTATAGGCATGAGCCATGGGTATCCAGTAAAAAAGACATTTTTTTTGTTGTTGTTCTTTGCCAATCCTGGGGCTTGAACTCAGGGCCTAGGCATTGTCCCTGAGTCTCTGTGCTCAAGGCTAGCACTCTTCTACTTAAGCCACAGTGCCACTTCTGGCTTTTTCTGTTTATGTGGTACTGAGGAATCGAACCCACGGCTTCATGCATGCTAGGCAAGCACTGTACCTCCAAGCCACATTCTCAGCCCAAAAAGGAGACTTTTATACATAGCTTAAAAAGCAAAACCATGGTGTTTTTTGTTTTGTTTTTGCATTGTACAAGGCAAGCACTCTACCACTGAGGCACCTTCCCAGCCTTTTTTGCATTGAAGAAAACAATTTTCTCTTTTTGTTTGAGGGTGGGTCTGGCCCCAAACTTGGGTCCTCCTGCCCCTTGTCCTGCCTGCATGCACACAGGTGTGCACCCTTTGGAAGCTAAGCTGACAAGTTCCTCTGCTACAGGACAGGAACACATACAACGCAGCGCTGCTTAAACCTCGCAAGGCACCATCTGTCCCATCCCATCCACCATGTTTTTTTGTTTTTGTTTTTGGTCCAGTCGTGGGGCCTGAACTCTGGGCCTGGGCGCTGTCCCTCAGCTCTTCAGCTCAAGGCTAGCGCTCTACCACTTGAACCACAGCACCACTTCCAGCTTTTTTTCTTTTTGCTTATATGGTGCTGAGGAATCGAACCCAGGGCCTCAGGCATGCAAGGCAAGCACTCTACCACTGAGCCACCTTCCCAGCCCCCATCCACCATCACACCCAAGAGCATTTGGAAGTAGTGGCAGCATTGAGATTCTGCTGAAATCCACCAAATCCTAGTTACCATTGACTTCGATCAGGTTTGCATTCTTCTGATTCAAAATCACATAGAGCTCCCGCTGATCTGACTTCTTCCCCACAACCCAGTAGTCACTCATGGCTTTCACGATGATTTCTTCATCTTCATCCGCTCTGCAAAATAAGTTTCAGAATGTGGCAGATGTCTTGCACATATGTGCACTGTGGGAGGAAGGACGCACCCAGACAAAAAGTGGACACTGGCCTACTGCTGAGGCTGTGGGAAATGCAGCCAGGAAGGGGTCAAGCTGAGCCCCTGTGAAGTGGCAGTTACCTAGGGGTTGTGTGTGTACTAGCAGAGGGGCTTGAACTTAGGGCCTTGTGCTCTTGTTTTTTTATTATTATTTTTG